TAAACCGGCCGCTTTGTGGAGGGTTCTCCATCAAAGCAGAATAGCGTCATGTGCAAAAGTAGGAGTAGATAAGCATCATCTACAGCAAATTCATTTTACAAAACCAGTAAAAAACGGTCTCGTGTCTCGTCTTTAGGCAGTAAATATTGAAAGCAATAAAAATTTATAAACTTTAAACAGAAATAATTGTACACTTAATTTAAGTTTTAGTTTTCATTTTTTCCACCTCCTCAAAACAGGGCAAGAAGGTTTTTTTAAATCAAAATTTCTATTTTTAATTGATAGATTTCGACAGTTTTTTTCAATCATCAGGGGATTTAGAGCTCAAAATTTAAAAATATAAAACGACCAATTAATTTAAAGTTCATTGTTTTGGACATTCTACCTAAAAGTGTGCTAAAATCTGATTTCATTTGCCTCTATATTAAATATTTCGAGTATTTATATTATTAAAAATTGTTGCTCGTTGTTGCATGAGATTGGTTTCCATTGCGATCTTTTAAAACCACAGCTTTATTGAAACATATCTTGTGACTTTCATGCTATGGACCATATTGTTGTTTATGAAAACTTTTTTTTATAAAAAAATTTTATTGTGAAATACAATTTAGAACTTCAAAGTTCTCTTCAGAAACATCCCGAGCGGCAGCAGCAGGAAATGAGGATGCTCCGTAATTTCTTTTTATAAATTTAATGCGGTCGCGTACAAGTACGCAACACCACTTTGAATTATTTGTAAAGAACTTTCCAGGTGCCTTGCTTTTTATTCGAAACACACAAACTGCTCGCCGTGCGGAATTCTACCTTTGCTTCACAAAAAAATTTCAAAAGCTCCTCCAGCGGATATTCTCTTTTTCGCCCGTATCCCATCAAGTAAACCTTCAACCGAATTTAAAAAAAAGTATATGCAATTGTTTACAATTACCGAGACTTTGTGAAAAAAACCAGCCTTCCTACAGTGCAGACAAGTCAATTGTGAAAGAAACAATGGCAAATTTTCGCAGAAAAGCGAAAGTTCGCGAGTTTTCGTCCCGTCGTTTTATTGTTCACGTCGCACTGCACGTCCTGCCAGAGGGACTTAATTGATGATTCCGCTCGGGTGGCAGCAAAAACAAGAGCCACGCTGTTAAGATGCTTTTCCGAAAGTTCCCCTCGACTCGCTATTTTTAATTTAAATGAATTTCTTCGAGCGAATCATTTTTGTTCAACGGAGCAAAAGTGTGCGCACAGACGATCAAATTAAAAATTTATAAAAGAGTAAAAAATATCTTTTATTGCCTTTTAAATAGAGTTTTTTTCAGTCGAGCAAATTTCCCGGGCGAGAAACAAATTTTTGGTCCTCTTCGACTAGCCCGAGTTTATCTTTCCAGCTGCAGATTTTTGCGCTCGCCGGCGAAAGGATTCTGTTAATAGGGTTATGGCGCGAAATTAGATTAACTCCAGAAGCCGCACATGCACACCCGCCCCTCTGGACCGCGTCCAAAATTTCGCCTTAATATATTTGGCCTGCGACTTACGCAGACTGCGTTTCCGCCGCTTTATTGTTTCCCTTTCCGTAATAATTCCGACATCTCGCTCTCGCGCGCTCATCAACTAATTGCACGTTGATTGCGAAACGTCAAAAGTTTTGCCTGCGGGCGGTCTTTTCCCTCCTTAATGTGTGTTTACGAGATGATACCGGAGGCGCCATACGGTTTCAGGCAGATGTTTACTCTTGCCTTTCAAGTCGGCGAGTCTTTCCCGAAGAGAATTTTGACTTCGCGGCTCTGACAACCAGAAAATTATATTCCTGAAAATTGTTCTACATTTTCCAGAGTATGAAAAATTGATTTCCACTTGCCAGAAATTGTTAGTTATCAACGTTTTGATTGAGTAAAAAATATTTCAAATTAATAAACTAATTTGCTATAATATATTGACTGCATTAATTTGGTTCTATTTATCCGTTTACTGGAAAAATTTTATTGGATGAAGATTTTTAGAGCTGATTTGAATTCAAAAGTACTTCTCACTTAAACGATAGTTTTTTTCTTCGGACAAGTCATAATTTTAATATTTTTTTATATAAATCTTTCAACTAGATTTGATTATTAACCAAGGCTGGATAATCAATCGACTCGTTTTTTTAAGTCTGTCTATCCAGCCTCATCACTTACACATACCGCTCTTTTAAATTTCAAATTACACTTTTGAATCGCAGTAAATTTGAATGGATATTTTAAGCATTCAAATAATAATTCCCAGAAGTCATATAAAATTGTTACATGTAATTTTTAATGAAGTAAAACTCTCAATAAAAGCTCCCAGCTCTCTCTCCGGAGTCATTCCAGAGGCAATTTAAAAGAAAAAAATTGCTGCTTCACTCATTTTAAATTGCCTCCCTTCTCAACGCTAAACCCTGTTCCCTTGATCATTCCGTGTTTTTTTTTCTTGGAAAATTACGTTATTTTCGTTCCGTATCAAACATGAACGTGTAGGTCAAAGTTGCCTTGTTCATAAACCCAATAAATTAACTTTGCAACAAAACATAAAATAAGCAACTCCAACGCCCAAGCCAAGATACGCATCCCGCTCGGCAGATGCGTTGAAACGGTTGCATATTACCTTTTTTCATAGGCGTTATATTGTGTTGCATCTCTTTACATGGAAGGAGTCGATGGTTATTGTTGTTTATTCTTCTCCATCATAAAATTTCCATCCCAAAAATGAGGATAATTTTAATTTTGAGCTAAAATTAATTTATCTTGGACAATAAAGGAAAGGCGGCAAAATATTGGCTAAAACTCTTGAAATCAAGAGGAACTCTTATGCCAAAAGAGCCCCTGGCGCAAAGGCGACATTGGACTGTCGCTCGCTTTGCATTTATCGAGTTGAGCATATCAACATTCTAATGGCCTTTATTAATCCCTTGGTGACTCTGTTATTGGTTGAGCGCCAAATTTTGCATTTTCATCCTTCCAAATGAAGAATAGAATTTACCAGAAATGTAAAACAATAATTTTATCCTGCAATATGTATGGTAATTATTTTTCTGACGGGAAAATAATTCGGAAAATATGCAATGCGGCAAAATCTTTCTGGAAATATTGGAATTTCTCTACAACCACTTCCTATTTTAAATTTTTTGCGAAAAGAGGTATTCTATAATTAATAAGTTGGCCTTTTGGAAAATAGAGATACCCTGTGTGTCTGACATTTTTGTTTAATTTTAACTTTTAAGTTAATTGGGTAACTTGATTTTCGCCCTAGTGCCTAAAAGCAATAAAGTAAAAGTTGAAGCATCATAGGTGTATGTATTGTGATTAGTGATGCAATTTAACATTTTGAAAAAGTTTCAAAAGAATTGTTTCCATTTCCGTCTGCAAAAAATCAACTTTTTATTTTATTGTATTTTTATTTTGCACTTAAATTTTATTTTAATTCCCACTGAAACAAGGCTTGAGGTTGATTTCATGAAAAATCCAGTTTCAATCTTTTATGAACAAAATGCACTTAACAAAAATAACTTAGCGAGCCTAGATTTCTTTTTCCAACAACCATCGTACAAAACTAGTTGTCTGGGGAAAAGCTGACGAAGCGGACAATGGGACTAATTTCACTCCACTTCCTCCTGATGCGCGGGTAAATCGGGCCCAAATTAATACGCGAGGCCGTAACTTGCACGCGATATGACGTGGAAAACAATCACGCTAATTGGCCCTCTCGGCTGTAATCCCACACGTCTCGAAATCTGCAATGAATGCTTGTTTTAATTCGAAAGCGAAACGACGACACAACAAACTGGCAAAAGTCACAGCTTTGCGATTCGCTGCTGGGCGCCAGTGGATGCCTTTTGGTAATTCGGGCCTGCGAACGAGTGGCGACCGCTTTTTATTATTCATTTCCCCCTTTTTGCGGGTCTCGAGGCAGAGGTCGATAAGCTGAAATTTTTCAAAAGGTGGTATTATGTTCACGCTGTTCATTATATTTTATTCAGCCCATCCGGCCGGCAAATGAAACATTTTTCCCGCCACCTATATCCTGTTTCGCTTGTCGGTATCAGAACAACGCCTGGAAAATTGATTTCTATATCGCCTCGGGTGCATCAGGCGTGTGTCCCGGATTAAATGTCGCGAGGGCGTGGGGAATCGGAGAGATTTTTTTCATTGCCACCACGCTGAGCCTGCTTGCTGATTCAGAGACACGCGTTGCGACAATCTAGGTTGTTAAACTTGGCGCGGCAAATATGTGTTTGTCATTCGAAATTGATTTGAGATTTAAGTCAATAAAGTTGATTAATGTTATCCCATTATCTTCTATAAAAAATGTAGCTAATAATGACGGTTTAAAGTTAAAAATTTTAATAGGAGAAACATAAATGTAATCTGAAGTCAGCTAAAGCTTTTGGTAAAATTATATCTTTACATCGGCCTAGTGGAAACTTATTCCTCTACAACAGTCCCCAGTAAGCAAATTAAAAATAATTTCCAAACTAATTTTGTTTTCTAAATAAAAAATAAAAGAAAATTAATATATTAATTTGGATTTGGTTGATTTAAATATTATTTTGGATCAAAACTGGTAAAATTTCATAATTAATTGACAAATTTTATTTATAGAAACGTGTATTGAACTGTTTAACTATTAATTTTAATCAACTACATTGTTTAACAATGAAATTTTTATAACCTATGAAGGACCTCTTGTTACGACTTGAAAATTCCACCCTGAAGATTTTTCCTTGAATTAATGAACAAGGAAATAAACTTTCTTTCTCCTGCAACTTTACTTCTTGACTTTTTTCGATTATCTTTTTACTTTTCCTTGCGGAAACAAAAGCAGCGAATCACGCGCTTTAATTAGCTACGCCTGCTGGCTCGCACGTCACCTTGGAGGGTGATTGATGCTCTCCCAAGGGTGCTGAGGACAAGTGCGAGATAATATATCCTTTCTTCTACCGTGTAGCATCTGCAAAATACAAAGACGCACCGTATAATTTTATCATTGTTGTTTGCCCGCAGCGCTGGTGTTTGTCTGTTGACTCTGCTGCATGTGACGAGCGCCGGCCACCTGGGGGTGGCGGCTGCGGGGGCCACCGCCGCCCCCGACAACACTTCTGCCTCTCTAGTCTACAACACCAATGACACTAGCCAGTTCCAGTTTACTGATCCTGAGCTCCAGGTAAGGGAGAATTAGATTTTTAAAAATAATTGCGCTTTCATTAAATATCTTCTGAATGTGATGAAATGAAAATTACTTGTAATGAATTAGGAAAGGATTTATGCGGGTGATAAATATGTGACTTCCGTCTTGATAGTAGGGCAAGCGTAATTCCCATAGCACAAAATTAAATTATCAACCCTCCTGCAGTGCTCCGGGCGAGGGTATCGTCAGCGAACAAATGAGTCGGGTAATATGATTATGCAAACTGCAAATGATACCCGGGTGCATTTGCATGCCTGGGTTGATTCTATCACTTGTAACTGTATAATAAATGTATATTAATTAGTTGAGAGTAGTTGTATTATATAATTAATTAATTATAATTATGTCAATTAAAAAACTACTGATTATCTTTTGATCAGTTTAGAACTAATGATTTTTTATCGTCGAATTTCAAGATAGTACCATCTTTTGCTGCTGAAGGACAAGCTATACCTAGTGTATTTTTTATTTTTATGAAATTTAAATCTTTGCTGCTAAATAATTAATAAATTTTTTTAAATTAATATTTAGAGTTCTTGGGCCCTTCTATGAGAAAAATGTTAATGCATTAATGAGAAGGTTTACTTTCCCTAAATATAATTTAAAAAGAGAAAAATGGAAAATATCTATTCTGGGCGTTATTGGTTTGTACCTTTCAAATTCGTCAATGGCTCGTTTCCAACGTTATGTAAAATCCACTTTAAGGCAATGCATCCAAAAGTAGCACTCTCTGGTCCATGGAAAATCTACTGCTACATTATTGATAAAGACAGCTTTTTCGGCCTCATCAGCTAACATGAGTGCAAATCATAGCTGTTTTTTTTATTTATGTTTATACTTTTCCCTGAATGCGACATTAAATCAAATTTATTTATCTTTAAATATTTTACATCTAAAGGATTGTAAGGAATATTATAAAAATTTATGCAATTTATACGTTTAAATGATAATTATGAAATCAATCAGTTGAAAAAAGTTCAGGTAAGGAGCATTTTCAATGAAATTCCAAAAAATGTTTAGTAAGATTAGCCTTATTTCAAAAGTTTTGTTTTTGTTCCTATGCTATTTTGAATGGTTTTGTTTTGTAACCTTTTAATATTGTCATTGTTCAATTGGAAAGCATCAAATTAGCATATTTTAACTGCGAGGAAATTGAGTACCAATTCAAGCAGAGAAGCACAGAGAAGCAAAATCGCGCCGCTTTATTTGGATTGTTTGGCGTGAAACAAGAAGTTACTCACGCTTGAAATAACGCCATCCAGATCCAAAGTTCATTAGGCATGTTTCTCCTTGAACTCGCGATTTCGGCTGCGCGTGCCTTTCGAGCTCAGAATGACGCCTTTACAAATGTGTCACTTTGATGTCGAGAGTCGCACCATTTGCGTGCGGCTCGTCTCGCGCCGTTTTCGCCAGCTTTTTTAAACAAGCGCATCCGTTTTTCACTTTTGTTCCTTTTCATGTGGATTCCCTTTTCAGAAATGTGTCCACCGTCCACCGTTACAAAGTGACAAGCATTATTGACAAGCAATGTTTGCGCGCGCTGAAAGTTAAATGGAGTGCCTTTGATGGAGATGCATTTTTTTTTCACTAACGATAGTGTTATATTTAGGACTAGCCAATTTCTGTATCTTTACAGCAGCTCCATATCGATTTACGGGACGAGTTTTCCGCTTTGGCTATAAATTTTAGGCGGTTTAGCTAACAATTCAAATGATCTAAAGTTCTTGTTTATATCGATTCAAGCATTTTGCACGCCTTGTTAAATTCACGAAAATTTACAAGATTATAAAATTTTATATAATACTTTATAAATACTGTACATATTATATACTGTCTTAAAATTAATCATCAATGTATTTATTATTAAAAACACTCCACATCTTAACGTTCTTGCCAACGTTTACAAACTTTTTTTACGGAAAACAAAACACATTAAAAGAAATAAAAAACACAAAAGGATAGTAATCTTCACTTTTTTGTTTTTGAAGGAAATTTTATATATTTGGTTTGCATTTCATTCTCTTGTCAAGTGGCTAATTTGTAGGAAAATTAATAACTTTTCCTTGTATATAGGTCAAGCTCCCCAATCAATTAATTATTAAAATTAGAAATTAGAACCAAATTCGAATGTTCAGAAGGTTCCATATTTTTCTTTATTGATGTTTTGTATCCTTGTACGTATTCGGAAAATTAAATATAAATTCGTGAAATAAAACCAAGACTCGGAAGAGAGCTTGGAGCTTGGTGGAGGATTCAGAGGAACATAGAAATACAAAGCGCAAAACACTATAGCCCTACTAACTACTTTTTGCTTCCGGACCATCACAAACCCTATCCCCCGAGATCGAGACCGATGTTCGACTACCCCCGCAAACTGAGATTCGCTTTCTCCCTTAAACTTTCTCTCTCTTTTTGCCTCAGGCGGAGCCGTGCGGATGCTGGAACACGACCGAGGACGGCCGCGAGGTGGAGGTCGAGTGCAAATGCAGCGGCCCACGCCTCACCTTCATCCCCGCCGACCTGGCTAGAGGCGTCCAGCGGATGTGAGTGTAAAACAGCCCCTGTTTGCTCCGTCGATTTTTAATTGATTGCCGCTCCATTGGGTGCCATTAGCGACCAGGGGAGGAGGGGGGTCATTTTTTGCATCCCACGTCGGATTTTACGGCGGAAATCCTGCAGGTGCAAAGAGGGCGGGCTGCACCCCCTGCTGGCCAAAGTGGGCGCCGCATTTAATGGTTCGCCCAACTTTCATGCGATTTATATGTTTCCCGTCGAGCGACTGACTGAGTGCTGCCGACCGAGCTTTAAGCCGGCCAACCCCAAATTATTGGTACCGTGATATTAAGGCCGCAACGTTGTGCAAAACACCACCTAAACACGGCCACTTCGCAGAATGGGAGACGTGAACTTATTTATAACCAAACGGGAAACCAAGCAGGCGAATAATATCAATATGATGAGGGGACCTCAGTGTCTGGGGAAAACCATGAAATATTTTTTGCAAAAACCAGTGCCGAGTTAAATTGTTAAAAAAAAAAAAGTAGACTCTAGTTCAGTTCCAGTAATTTTTTGAAGATATTGAGTGTTTTCCTAAATTGATTCATTATTTTAATTTAAACAGAGCAAGAGAGTTTCAACGAATTTGATTGGAAGTGAAATTATTATTATTTTACTTAATTCTGATATTTACGTCATATTTTTTTTTGACCTAGCATTTTCCGTTATTATATCATATATAAATGATGAGCTATAAGTTTTTATTTTTATTTTTTATAAAAAAAAACCAAAATGCTCATTGAGAAAAATCCTTGTTCATCATTTATCATAATTCATAATATGATTTGACACTTTCTGCAACAACAATATAATTATTTCTGTACTATACCGTCAATAATTAAATAGCTCGGGAAATTTTATTTTTATCGTGATTAATTAGCTTCTCAATTATACCGATATTGAGCTATGTACTTCTGTAAATTTCACAGTCATATGGACACTAAGAAAAGGGATTGTATGATTTTAGTATTCTAATTTAAATTTTACCACCTTATATTCAAATTTGCTGTACATCCCAAAAAAATGGAAAAATATTTTGAATTTTGCTATTTTTCCCATTAAATTTGAAACTGGGAACAATCGTAAACAGCCAGGGATTTGTCTTTTGCGAAGTGTCAATGAATAATGTTTTGTAATATGTAAAAAAAGTTTCGTTTATAACATTCTTTTTTTGTTATTTTTTTTGCTGGTGTAAAATTTCATCAAAGCCTGTAATTTACAAACTGCTTTTTAATTAGAGCCTTTGTTGTACCAGGTATAATTTTGAGACTAATTATGTTACATAGAGGAGAGGCGTCGTCAAATTTAATGGAAAAGTCTCATCTTACAGAATGAGCCCACGCACCAATTAAGACGTGGAACATTTCCAGCAATCAAACCGGGGAAGAAAAATATAATTATTGTTCTCCCGGAGAAACCTTTCAGATGCTCAATTCTATTTCCAGATTTAGAAAAATAAGACGTTTTTCTGATTGATTTCGATGGGGGCAATACAAAAATGCTCGAAAAGGAACACCAATAAATTCCCTTTCCAGAATTAAATAAACCTCTCAAGTGTCGGTGCTTGTTGTCTGAATTTGATTGAAAGGGACCCATTTCGCTGTTGTTATTTGCACACTAATCGCCACTTATGAAAGTTTGATTGCTTCGAAGCAATAAAGCTGCCTCGACAAAATTCCGGCCTCAGTCAAAATTGCTCGCATAGAGCACCGCAGAAAAAAAAACAAGGAGGAGCAGCCGTTATTGTTTCTTGGCGCCCGCGGCAAGAAATTCGCGGTGAAACTTTTGCCTGGTCTCGACCGACGATCCGTTTATTCCTCTGTGTAATAGAAAGTGGCGACTGACTGTGGTGTGTGTCGACCGTCCGTCTCTATACTTTATGTGTTTGCAGATCTCTGGTTAACGTGGCCTTGCAGACGATCCCGAGCGACGCTTTCCAGCCGTACCGTTCGACCCTGCAGGACATGTAACTCGATTATTTTTTCGCACCCCCGTTCCCGTCCCCTATGAATAATCTATTGCATACATAATTGCACGGGGCTTTGCCAGATTAAAAAAAGGGGTAGCCAGAGTTTGGTGGGTTTTCAGTAAAAATCGAAGCAATTTATCCTTCTTCATAATTGAGATTTACGTATTTTTGATCTGCGCGTTGCAAGCAAATTCCTGCAAAAATCTGGGATATTTTTTATCTTTAAAATTTGAACTATTTTAGAACAAAAATTTTGACGAGAGATATGAATAAGATTTTTTTCTAATTTTTCTTGTATTTGTTTCGTAACCCAAAAAGAGTAAATTAAATCTTAATAATTAATTTTTTAAGTTATTAAATCAGTGAAATGTCATTTAGGTTATTTATTTATTTATTTTCTGAATGTTGGATCTGTCGTGAATACACAGAGAGAGAAAACTATTCATGAAAAGTACAGAAAAAGATGAAAATACAGTAGAAATCACAACACCTCAATTCAAAATCAATTTTTCGCTCTAAAATTTTAATTTTATTTTTATAACATTATTGTCAAAGAACAAAAATGTTAAGTAAAAAAATATTGTGTAAAGATTTTCCTAAGTCTTGTGTGCGAATGATTTGACGAACTTCAATTTTTAGTCTCTCACATTTTTGTTAAAGTCAGAATACTAATTTTCAACTCTTAATTAATCGCTTCATCAACGGAAATCAAACTTCTGTGCATTTAACGCAAACTGAAAACGCAATATTGTGCAGGAACTTTTCTCGCTGAATCTTGTCAATGTTCAAAAATAGCTCCATAAACGATGTAAACCAAAATATTACATAAAATTTTAATATCTCCATTTATTATAAAAAAAAATGGCGCGTTCATTATATACATTTTTTTATACTCTTTGCTAAAAATAATAACAAAATTGTGAAGCGCCTCCTTCAAAAACAAAGATTCAAGATCCACCCTCTGTGCAAATAAGCCTGCGGGCGTATGCAACCGACCCTTGCGCCACACGGCGCGTCTCATATATTTTAACCAGCTGCCTTCGCACTGCTCCCCATAATAAATTTGCCTGTTGTTTTTGGCGCAGCGTCTTGCTCAAATTGCGGAAACTGGTTGCGATCGAGGCAGGCGCCTTCGAGAATCTCACCAAGCTGCGAACAGTGTGAGTAATAATAAAAAATTCATGCCATAAATTTTTGTAAAAAGAGTCGGGGGATTAATTTTTTCCACTTTGTTGTTCAGGTATATTGACCACGCACCACTGCTCACGAGTTTGCCCTTCAAACTTTTCCACATCAACATGCCCAGCTTGAAAATCATGTAAGTTTTAATGACACCGCCAAATTTTTGTGGCACGATTGCGTCTTTGAGTGCTCTCTTGACATTGAGAGGAATAAACTGCGTGGGTGCTGTTGACGAAATTCCATTATTATGAGTACCCACAAAGGTCGCAAATCTATTTCTGGAGAATTCAATAATGCGCAGAACTCTAATGGAATTGTCGGGATTCTGCTTTTTATTCGTTTTATTTGGAGGGTAAAATAATGTTTATGGGTTTGTCAATCTTAAAAATGTGTAAATATGAAGTGCAATGAAATGTGGGGGAATGTTCATAATTGTAAGTTTGGCACTCCAGCAAATAACTCCGATGATAAGCATTGAGATTTTATTTTATAATCTTCAGTACTAAATAAGCTCCTCTTGAAGAAGAACCAATAATTTATTACTACTTAAAAAATTCCGATAACAACAATTTCTTGCGATTATTTGATTATATTGATATGCAATATGGTCCCTGGGCAGACCTTGCTACCGTTATTGGGACAAAATTTATGTATATTCAGATTTTGTGATTCCAAATTGCAATTTGAAAATAGTTCCAAATACCCACTTTTGTTATTTATTATCGGATGAATACAATTTTCAGTGAATTTTTTCATCTTACTTTTTATTGCTCAACATGGAACTTATTCTAAAATAATAATTATGCAACACTAGAAATTTTTTTCATTCACAAACAATGGTGTTTTATTGAATAGCCCATTGAAATTACAAAAATAGTCAGTTAAAACAACAAAAATATAATTCAAAATTTATGTTCAAGTTTTGTTTCAACAAAAAATGAAATAAACAATTGGTTCTAGTCAATCAGCATAAAATTACTTAATTCGTGCTGAAAATAACATTCCAAGTGATTAAGAAATTAGCAAATTGAATTAAAATGCATAATTGTGATTCTAGAATTAACGATAAGTATTTTTTTATCTGCTCGATAATTGACAGATCGTTTTACATTTGCTTCCTTCCGGAAAGTTGACTCTTTGAATGGCTTTTGTGCAGAGGACACGATTCGCCCCTTGTTATTTTCCACGCGGCGAACACTGATGGCGTCAATTCTTTTTGCAGCCGCATCGTTCACACCGGAATTACAACCTTGCCGCATTTGAGTGGTCTCAAAACCAGCTCCATTCTTCACATGGTGTGAGTAACTCCTTCTTCTCTTTCGGTTCATTGAGCCGAGCTTAAGTCAGCGCGCATTTTCCTCTCGCCTGCCAGAATTATTGCGGGCGGAATGCGTGTCGCGTTCATTCTTGCATTTATTTTGATGAGTCTTTCAATTACTTTTCCCTCGCGATTATTAAAATCCTAAATCTTTCCGAATCATGGTTCCGCTATGAATTATTGTTTTTCCCGTTGTGCCACTTTCTTTCTTTCTTTCGCCCACCCGATGTTTTCGAAATGATTTTTTTCTCCAAGCTTCAGCTGGCGGAAGCGAATTGCGTCTCCGGCCCAAGACAAATATGGCCCAATTCGCCCCATGTACGGACGTGGCGGTTCGCTTTTCAGATTTATTTGGAGACGCGATTGGCTCCCGCCGTTCTTTATTTACTCTTTTTGCTTCTTACTTAATTGGAGCCGGCGTGTTTTCTGCACTCTTTTTCAGGGACCTGGAGAGCAACCGCATTGCCAAAGTCACCTCCAACTCAGTCCGCGTGCGCACCGAGCAATTGTGAGTTGGAAAATTCTTTTCTTTGATCTCCGAAAGACTAATTTAGATTTTTTCCTTTGTCGCGAAACGTTTCGTGTTGTGAAAGAATGATTAAAATCCAGGCTCGTGAATAAAAAAAAAGTTGGTTACAACTCTTTTGAAAAAGTAAATTATGTAACAAGGCAGCTTTTATACTAATTAATTCTTTGCTTCACCAGATTAAAATTTCAGAGTCCATGCAGACTTTTTATAAATTGACATAAAATTAATTTTCTTTATTAAACTGCTAAAAATGCTTTTTTTTTAATTTTCACCAAAATTGAGGCCAGTATTATAGAATTTTTTGCAATACAATTTCTAACTATCTATTTTTAGCACAATTATTGTATAGTTCATTGTATTGTATTGTATTATTTATAAGCTACTTAATTTGTATTTGAAAAAAATGATATATAATATTTAAGGCACTTTTATAGACTTTTAGCTAAACATATCTCATCCTGATATAATTCCTACCTAAAATTTGAGCTTTCACGTCGTCTTTTTGTTATAAACGGGCTATTTCGCCAGTTCTGTAAATAGAAATTCATGGAAAAAGTTTGAAGTTTGGGTCAAATATTTTGATTACATTTCCTATTTTTGGGGCAAAGGCAATCATTTATGTTAAACCAAACTTCTAAAAGTCGAGTTCTTAATAAATGGCAAGTAGCATCTTTCAATTTTCCGTCTCTGCCACCAACTTTTACGAGGCGCCGGCTTTTAGAAGTTATAAAAGCAAAACTGTTCTGAAAACTCTCATCGCGCTTTAATATAACATTTTACGAGCGCGGCTGCGGAAGCACCTCTTTGAATATATGCTTGAAATTGATTTTCCTGTTGCAGTTTGCTCAACTACAACAGAATCAGTGAGGTCGAGGACTACGCGTTCAACGAGGCCGAGATCGCCAAACTGTGAGTACTTCTTACAAATATGGTACCACACACACTATAGCAACCCCTTTCAACGCCGTTTTCCTCAGTCGTAAAGAGGGTTCCTTTTTTGAAAAGTGAGGAAAAAGAGGAGACCGGTGGACGCATCTTTCACCCAAATATCCGATGTGTCGCACACAATGCTTCTTTCTTCTGTGAAAAGCTGCCACCGGCACGCAAGTTTTTCGCTCGCCCGCCCGTTGCGAAACAACACGGAAATATAATAGAAAGGGATCAAATCCTATTGGCTCATTTTTTGCGCGGACCATCAATATTAAAGATCGACATTTATCTCCGCACGGCCTTTTTCCATTTTGGCAAAGTCAAATATTCAATATCACGGCGAATGAATTGAATAACGGCACATACGTGGACCTTATCTAAAATTGATCGATTTTCAATTGTTATACATTGCATTTTATTTTTTTTTCATTACACTTAGAGCCAAATTCATTCACCGTGTTCCAAGAGACAGTCTTGATAAAAACTATGGTTGAATTGAAAAACAGGCTTCGTCCTCTCATTGATTGTTATTAATTATTATCAAAATATGGCTCCACCACAGTTGCACCAATGGTCTGTCCTATTATTCAAGAAAAACACGGTAAGCAGCAATTTTAAAGAAAATCAACAATGAAGAAAGTTTTTTGAAATAATAACGTTCTGTAAAGGCAACAAGTAAATTCCACCGTTTTGCGAGTGGCATAACTTTTAAATCCAGAAAAAATTGTATTTGCAACAAGGAAAAAGCCCATTTTATCCAGGAACTTGTTTCCTCAAATGCCAAACTTTGGCACTTGAAAATTGGGTTTTTAATGAGTCTCAAAATGATATTCCTCTCCTGCGGGCTCTTCTTTTGATGTGCTCAAGAAAATAAATTGACTCTTGATTGATGCGATACAGCCTGTCTGACCCAACCAGTGTCGTTCTTTGATCTTCCTTTTCAAAAAGAGTTTGATTAGTTAAAAGGTGAAATAGGAGATATATTCATTTAATGATTAAAAACAAAATTGCTTTTACTGTAAAGATTTTTTTTTTTAAATTAAATTTATGAAAATGTTTTACACCGAGTTAATCTTGGTATGAATTGTTTCTACAGTTGTTGAATTCCACACTGAGCAAAAATCGAAATGGAGTTTGAAACAGAATTGATTAAAAATTGTGCTTTCTGAACATTTAAATGTTATGCACCATAATTTAATTAATTTAATTTATACCTGCTAATTTTCACTTTTATCAAAAGAAAATACAAAATAAGCAAATTGAATTGCTCCTACACAAAACACGAATAAGAAATATATTCAATTAGCTAATGGAATCCAGCAGCAGTACAAAAAGGCTCCGCAGTCCTCTCCCTCAAAAGGTTGGCCGTCGAAAATAATTAAGCGGCGGCAGGGGGTCTCGCATTTCTATAAGCCACCCTCTCTTGTGTATAAGCCGAGCAAACACATAAGTGACAAACGTCGGTGTCTGATGCAGATTGCGGGTCGCGTAATTAGTCATTTGAAGTCAAAGCGGCATTCAAGCCTCGACGGCGTTGACTAAGTGCTCTCTAGGAGCTGCGCAAGCACCTGATCAAGCACAAAAGGCAACGCACGCAAGGTGACCTCGTAAAAACGCACCCGGGCCGTACAAACGCGCCGTTTCGAGGTTGGTTCACCCAGGGCGGCTCCCAAGTGCGAGCGTTTCCAGATTGGAGGAACATGAAAGAGAAAAGATAGTGTGCAGTTTGCTATAAAGACGGGCGAAACATTTAATAGGCAGACGTAGAAAGAGCTTTGAGCTTTAGAAATTGAAGGGAGTTGCGCACAAAAAGAAATTTATCAGATTATTTATAAAATTAGCGCTCAATAATACTATTATTGTTTATTTGTCTAAATTTTATCACATTGTTTACATTGTAAAAATTAATTTGAAAAGAAAAGGAATTGTTGGACGAATTTAATTTTTAATTAAATAAATTATAAGTAGGTTTTTCAAAAAAATTGATTTTTATTTTTTTTTTCAGATGAAGTTTAAACAAATTTGCTCCTCATAAAAAAGATGTAATATATTTTTGCTGTGTACTTTCCACAATTAAAACTTTCCAGCTGACTTTCATAAGCAGTATTCTTAATTATGTAATTATTTTGATCATTTGCAAAATTGACTTTGGTTGGAATCTTCTGATTTTTTGGATTGTAGAACAGTGTTATTTCTTTGTTTGAATTATAAATTAAGACGTTATAAAAGTGAAATTCACAAATCATTGACATTGAACTTTGGCCTAAGCAATAATATCAAAAATAATCAAAAGGGAAGTTGTCGGGCGCAAAAATTATAGGCGTCCTGCATTGAAGGGAGCATGATAATATGCTCATTAAGAGAAAAGATTTTGTGTTTTCGGGAAACCTGAGATCTCAGATAAGGGGAGAAAATTTTCAATTGAAATTTATTAATTTAGATGAAAATCGCGTTTATCATTCGCTATAACAGAAGAAATCACCGCCAATTTAGTCACAGATGCATTTTTGATCCTATGAACGAACATTCTAAAAATAATATTTCTTCATAAATTGTAACAAAAAAATATAACAAGTCTATTAACGCCCTTTTTTTTAGTCCTATATTGTCGTGATTTTATGGAATTTCAAGATTCTCTGTGTAAAAATTAACCTGAAAAATAATTTAAAAATTTTCAATTTTAAAAGATTTTCTGTTATAAAATTCAAGGAACGCGCATCTCCCTTCAAGAGCTCTACACATCGCGCTGTTTGGAGTAGCTGTCAAAGTGCAATAAAGTTCCCGAAAAGAATCCACCCGTTATTCCTTCAACGAGCAGATTCGGAGCAGCGCGCTCGAGAAAAAATAATATCATTTCGCGAGAAGGATCATTTATTTACAAATGACACCCGCCGCGCGTTTTTTGCGCACATATCGAACGATGTATTGCCGCGATGCCAGCAAGCAAGATTAAACTGCTGCAGAGCTCGAATTAATTCGCTGCGTTTTGGCAGGCACTTCACTTTGATGCGTCGGCGAGACTCGCCTGCCGGATAGGCAGCCCGCCAAACTCGCTCTGCTTCCACAAGTGGAAACAACATGAAAATGGCTCGTCATGTTTTGTGTTCTGCTTGCAGGAGTCTCAAAGGAAATAAGGCGCTGGTCGTGATACATCCCGAGGCGTTCATAGGGCTCAAGAGCCTCCGCGAGCTGTGAGTATAACAAGAGGGGCGCATTCGTCTCGTAGTCTAACAATAAGCCTACAGCTTTTCACCCACTTTCTGCGAATGAACTAAAAACGACTTTGGGAACCTGGCATTATTTTAAACAATTAGAAACGCGCGGAATCCATTAATATTTAAACACGTGCTTCAGAGCGATGAAAAATAGTTTAACTAATTTATAGTCTTCACAACAAGTTGGAGAAAGTTTTGCGAGATAATTAATATCCGCAGACAATAGAAAACAAGTAAAATAAATTCATTGCAAAAAAAATTTGTAGAGAAAATGGGTTCAGTGAACTTTAAAACATACAATTATTCTTTTTATGCATAGAAACATTTTATTAAATTATTATATAAAAATTTTATTTGATGAATAATTATTAAATACTTTTAAATTAATTATCGAAATAGAATTTGATAGAATTTTAATAGTAAGAAATTTAGTGCTCCATAACTTCTAGATCCAAGAATCTAATCAAATCCTATGATTCTCAATCCAAAATTTAATTCAGACCACGTATCTTGACGCATTTTGTCTGATTATAAATAAATATAGACTTTACACTGTTCTTTTCTTATATTTTCAGACAATTTTAAGTTATTTTTATTGTATTTATATTTTTTTTTGACAATTATGAAAACAAATTTTACTAGAAACTGCAAATTTTCTTCCTTCCTCACTTTGGAGAAAAAAATTTACTTTTGAATGCCTCGTTTGTAAATCAGTGATGTCCTGTCATATATTTTATAACTAAAATGCAATTCAAATTTCATCAATTTCAATTGATTACTGCAAATTAATCTAAGCCAGTAAATAAAAAAATTCTTTGATTTGAATTGACCTGGGAATTAAAAAAAATTTAAGATAGTTAAATAAAAAAATTGAAACCAATTTTGCCAGTCTTCTAATTTCTTGATGCTAGTGCTAATAATGCTAATATGTATATTATATAGCAGAGCATTCTGAATAAATGGTGCATTTGCAGATGAAAATTGAAACAAATTAAAATTTTAAATGGAAGTGTCTCCATGAAAATTAGGCAGAGGAAAGTTATAAATATTTCAACATTCGCTTATATCGCTTGCAAATGTCAGCAGACAGCAAAAGGGCTGGAGGAAGTTTTGATAATTGGATTTTAAAAAAAGAGAAAGTCTGAGCTCCTTCTGAGCCTGACATCACGTCTTGCCCGGCAAATTAAGAAATTCAATTTAGCACTCTGCGTCAAGATTTGTCTTGAGTAACGGTGAAAAGGTAGCCTGATAGAATAATGTCGCTGCCGGTTGTGTTTTTATCTCTTTCGGCGCAGCTGTCAATTTGTTTCTTATCTCTCTCAGGGACCTGTCGCAGACTTCGATTTCGCAGCTGCCCAGCAAAGGTCTGAAGGAAATCGAGATTCTCCGGCTGGAAGACACGCAGCGCCTCAAAGAGATCCCTTCCATTTATTATTTCGAGGTAACCTTGTTTGGTTTGCGAGCCGCGAACAAGAGAGTAATTTGCGTTTGTGTAGTACTTGACGGCAGCATTTCTCAACTACCCGTATCACTGCTGCGCCTTCCAGTTTCCCGCCAAGCACGACCCGCACGAGTTCGAGAAACATCAGGTAAGATGTTTTCTTGAAATCTTCTCCGGCTTCCGTTTTGCCAGTTGGAGAGGTGAATTCAATCTTGGAACACATGTAGAGAAGATCTCAATTTCTTTTCAAGTGCTGGAATCAAGTTTCACGTCTTTTTCCTCCCTTGCTTGCTCTCTGAACTCAAAAATTTTATTAAAACATCAATTTTATAATTTTCATAAAGGATTCCCCGTAGTGAAATTCTTGTGTTTTTATAAAGTTATAAAAATTTTAAAAAAGATTGAGCAAAGATTGAGCAAAGGCTTCTTATCAAATATTTGTTTTGCACACCGTAATATATAAAAATTCTTTTTTACAAATTTTATATTAAAATTTATAATTTAAAATGAAAAAAAAAAAACACTTACACATTAAAAAGCACTTAAAAATACTTGAATAAGGTTTGTCATGAAATGTTACTTTCTCATCAAATAAATGATGAAGTAATCAGATCCATCTAACAAAGAGCATAATCTGTTTTTCCCCCTTGTTTGTGAAAAATATGAAGTCAATCTCTGGGAACGTGTAATTAAATTTCTGCATTGCAATCCCCTCGTCAGCTGAAGTGTGTAAGGCAATGAATTGGTTTAGCGTTAATTTAGCGCCTGAATGACTAATGTGCGTAATTCGCAACCTAGATAGCAATTTATTTGCAAATTGCAGGGATGAGGGACACTTTGTAACATTTGCGATGCAAACGCAGTAATTGTTTGTCCGCTGCAATATTCATTTCAACAATAGTTAGAAATGGTTTGACTGAAAGCGGACGTTCATACTGCAAGTACACGCTTAATGGGTTTTATACAACCGGCTCTACGTGAAGGCCGAGCTGGTTGCATATTTCTTTTACTGGTGGCAACGTGTGGGACTAATTTATGGTTTTGAATGTATTGTTATAAAAGTAATTAACTCGCACTCCATGATATGAAATATGAAAGGGAATTGTTTGAAAATTTGTTTCAAGGTTTGTAGGATTTGTTAAGCGATTTGTGATTTAATACTTCCTGCGAGAAAAGGGATTATAAAATGCTCCAATTTATTGGCTCCTTTAAACAGTAGCGCTCAAAAGTTTTGGAAATTCTAATTTAGACACCACAAAAGGCAAATCGGCTCTGCTGATCTTGAAATAACTCTTTCTTGAAAATATCAAGTCTCTTTCTTCCACTAGCAACGGATTTTGTTACAACCGTTAATGATGAATTACACAGAAAATTTCAATTTGCAAAGAAACACTTTTCTGGCAGCTTAATTATCATGAAAGCCACACCTTAGGGTTTAATTACCCTGCTAATTATTTCCTGCTCAAAGTTCGTACATATCAAATTCGACTTTGAATAAATTCGTGCTTGTCTCACATCTGACGCCATTTTAAGAGGAATCACTTTGCCAAACATTTCTGCCTGTGGAAAACAGAAATCGTGGTTTCGTAGAAGTGTTGCGGGAAAATGAATTAAATAAATCCCGATAACTTTATCTAAAGAGCTTTCACAGTAGGGTCTGGGGAATAAAATTCCTAAACAAGAATAATTCCATTTAAAAAAATATATATATTTTTCATGAAACTAGAGGGAAACTTTTTCAAAGCTTACATTGATTTTATTGCGAGATTCATTATAATTATTTTGCTGTGTATTACGTGTAATTTGCAAGAATATTTTTTTTTTAAATTTCGTTAAATACAATAAGATCTTTGTCTTAAATTTACTTTATGCTTCCACATGTGAGTCTTATATTTTATTTAAATTATCATAAATATATTTTTTGAATATTAAAGACGGTGGAAACGTTCAAAACCCTTAACAGATGATTTTTATGCATGGTAAATCTCTGCATAACAAATCAAATTTTGTGTTAAGTGAATAATTCTTGGAAAGTTTGACGAAACTTTCAGTTTCCCGGATGAACGCAAAGACGGCTTCCACTCGGTATCTTTTCCCGTCAATTTTTGTCAAAAGATAATTTCCTAAATCTAACTAAAAACTATTGAAAGTTTCCATGAACCCATTTAATGACTTTTTTGCAGCGTTTCGTGCAAATGATTCAAGCCAAATATTGCTCGGAACCTACTGTTGTTCGGGAAAAGCGAGCGTCCAATTCCTCCGGAGAAGAAGGTTTCGGCGAATTCGGCCGCGTCGTCTTCTCGCCAGACAACATGAGCACGCCTCAGCACAACGCGGTCGACTGGGGCATCTTGGCCGAACAACACAACCCACCCAATTTCGACCCTTACTTCCTCGATCCCCACAGAGGATTTGGACAGGCAAGTTGTTATTTTTCCATTAAAAAAAAAACAGCTTTTTGGCAAAACGCGCTCTTTGCTGTCGACGCTGATCGGAAATTAATTTTTGAAAAGAGGAAATTTGCTACGGCAGCAAAACGGTGTGCGATTAATCAAAAATTGTTGGTGTCCTGCCAAAAAATCCTCACCCGGTACATATAATTTGTGGGCGGCGGCATTTTCCACACGAGACGGCGGAGATATAATTCAAAAGTGACAGCGCACGGTTGTTGACGGTTCTTTTCAACAATATATTTGCCATGACAATGAAATATCAGGGGTCGGAGAACGTGCTATTTTTATATCTATGGCAACCAATTTGATAAAAAATCGCAAACAAATTTTCAGAGGGAAATAGAGGTTTCCCTTCAAGGTACAAATCTTCCTAATTTATCTTAAACTCTTGAACATTCTGCCAACGTGTCGTATCGCTTTGACAAAGTTGACTTTGACATAACTTGCAGAGATTCAATTACGTCGCCGATGAAACTCCCAAAAAGCTGCTCTTTTCAATTTCTCCGGGGAAAAGTATCAAAACTTTGCAGGCTTGACCTCAATTATACACACACCCCTATTAATCAACGTGGCTAAATTTAGGTGAAGACCGAAATTTCTTCGAAATTTAATCCCGGCAAGTTTACGCTGGGGGCAAAGTTAAAAACAAAGGCCGGGTATAAAATAACAAAAAGTTGTTTCTCTCCTTCACAGGTGAGCGACTTGGGAGGCTCAGGGGGTTCCGCATCCGGAGCGGAGGGTGTTTTTCACCCGAGCGGTGCCATCTCGCCGCTCATAGTTCAAGCCTACTGCGGCAATTTGTCGCGCACCACCCGGGACGTCAAGTGCAGTCCCACCCCAGACGCCTTCAACCCTTGCGAGGACCTTATGGGCAACTGGTGGCTCAGGGTTTCCTCTTGGATGGTCGTCCTGGCGGCCGTTTTTGGAAACCTTGCAGTGCTTGTCGTCCTGCTCAGTTCCAGGTGAGCAATTTTTATCCCACAATTATGTTATGACTTATAAAAAGGCTATTTTCAAACCAAATCAGACTTTTTATGCTATTTAATTAAGTCCCTGGTACAAGCAAGTTAGTTCTCAAAAGTTTAGTAAAAGACCGTAAAAGACTATTTTAATTTTTCTCCAAACAGCAGCAATATTTCTTCACTATTCGCTTAGACATAATACAGATTTTCTTCAATTTTGTTATGGAAATCTGAACTACCTGTTACAAAATATAAGCAATTTATTAAGAAATGTAATAATTATTTACAAAGACTCAAAGTAGATATTGTGTATAGAAATAAGTATTAAAAACATATTGTGTAGCAGCAGAATTTTTAGCGGTCAAGGGTTGTTCCGGGTTGTTCCATATGAGTTAGAGGGGATTTGCAATATAATTATGTCTCACAAAACCCATTTCAAATCAAAACAAAAAAGATCATAAAAAAATTTAATTAAAGCCTTTATCTTGATTCACAAAGATCTGTCAGAATGAATTTTTTTAAGTGAATTAAGCAAATTCAAAAAGCTTTTTCCACCAGTCTAAATGCCTCCTTCCGTAGCACACGGTATGAAAGGACGGTGAAGGTGGTGTAATAATTAATTCGAAATTCGAATCAAGTTCTGCGAAACGAGACATCATTATTGCCTGTGAAAATGCGCAGAGGCAGAACGTTTTAATTTTTTGCGGAGGTAAAATAGCATGTGGAATTTCACCACTGCTCATATATTTTGAATATGGCGAATTTTTATTGCTCCAGAACTTTCTCTTTTGGGCAAATAATATAAAACTCTGCACATTGGGAGACTCTTTTGAGGCTGAAATGACTGGGATGTAGAAATTATATTTGCAAATGGATGGAGTTAAAATTACAATGATATCATTTAATGCTTCCAGTTGGTTGAAAACCCATGCAAAAAAAATTACAACTGAAATGAATCAATTTTCGCTGATGCGAAAGTTTTCAAATAATTTCTGACTGAAATGTATAGAAAAATAATGATATATCAAATTTTAACTGAAGCTGGCGTATTTTTTTCCATTTTATGGGGGGATTTTTTTTAGCATCTTAACAGGCTGTTCAGTCATTCTGAAATTTAATGCATTATTTTCCTATTTCCACAAAACGATCTCTTAGTGATTTTTCTTCAAAGCTGAATATCAAATCAACATAATTAGTGCAGCTTAAATTTTTTAACTCTCTCAAGTTTCATTTGATTGGAAGAATAAACAATTTTCCACGTCAATAAAATCAAACACCTTCTGCATCTTGCAGGTTTCGAATGACGGTGCCGAAGTTTCTGATGTGCAACTTGGCTTTTGCCGACCTCTGCATGGGCACCTACTTGCTCATGATTGCCGCCATGGACGTGCACTCGATGGGCGCCTACTTCAACTACGCCATTGACTGGCAAGAGGGTGAGTACAAAGTTTCCTAACTCCATCAAATAATCCTGTGTGAGCAGCTTTATTAAATCTTGAGCGTGACAAGTGACTTGAATTAGTTTACGTCAATTTAATACTACTTTTTATGTAAATTTTTTTCCCTGCAAATATTTTTTATATACAATACTATAAACATTGCTGAACATTCGAATTTTTTGTTGATGAAAACAACGCAAAAGCCATATAAAAACCAAAGCTGATTAAAATCATTTAGCACCAGAAGCGGCTTATTGATTATTTAGTAATTTTTTAATAAATTCTTTTATAAATTCAATTTTATGTTACACCCCAGTGTTTTTATTTCTTTTTATTAATCAACAATATTGCAGAATTGATAATTTAACTATTTATAGTTATTGTAATCCCATTATTATTTCTATTAGAGTTAAATATTCTTATCATATCTTAAAAATGGAACAGGCCAGAAGGAATAAAACAGGGTGGTTTAAGACGATTAAATGCTATATTTTTATGTCAATTAATTACCAAATGAGGGCAAGATCATTAAAAACTACAGCTTCTGAAGAGTGCGAAATGCACTTAAGTAGTTGTACTCGCAAATTCAGATGATTTGAATCGAGAGAAATGATAAAAAAAATTAACAGGTCAGAAGCGATAAAACAGTGGTTTAAGACAAGCGTAAAATTAAGGCAATTTTTATGACAATTAATTACTGAATTAATTACTGATTACTAAAAACTGCGGCTACTGAAGAGTGTGAAAGGCACTGATCTTGTTGTGCTCGCAAATTCAGTTGCCTTAAATCAAGCGATATCATAAAAAAATTAATTACAAAAATGTAGGAAAATCACACCAACATCAGCATCTAAAAGAGAAAATGAAATGATTATTCTTTAAATTTCCATTTGTATTATTTTATACGAACTAAAAGTTTTCATATCAAAAGACCGCTCAACTTTTAGTGTTTCAATAGAACAGTTTTGATTTTATGAGATTTTTCATCACGGAACTCATTTATCGTGTAATCGCTTTTGAACTTCCTTCTGTAAGCAAACTTTTAATTAAACTATTGTTGTTTGGTCGCATTTCCATGGTAGATACAAATCATTTAATTGGTTTTGAACACAAAGTCACGAATCATTTGAAAAATAAGCTCTTTTCAGTGCCTAATAACTCAATATACAACAAAAACCCCCGTTGCGGTCCAGCATCATCGGCTTCAGCTGGAATTCTCGTTAAAACGGTGACATGCAAAACGACAAGCATTAGTTAGTGTCGCTCCGCGTGCTACGGTGGCTTTTCAGCGTTTGAGCCTCCGCCGTGAAATATGACCGGCGTGGCTATTCATTTCTCCGACCGACTCCGGTGCCAATTCTTCCCCGGATGTGTCTCTCTCTCGGAATCGATATTCGCGAAAACAAAACGTGTCGAACCGAAAATTGTCACTCCAGTTTTCCATCAAAGCCGCTGTTTTTTTCCACACTCTTTTAATCTCCGTTCCGGTTACGAAAATTGGAAAAAATTCGGCGCCGATCAACAACAACAACCTGTCAAAACGACCGATTTTGGTGCTTCAGTATTGTACGTTGTCGAGCGCACTACACTTTTAGTTCTCTGAACCGAAAGCGTATTTCCCAGCAAAGACAATGGCAAGTTGAAGCGTCGTATTATTTGGTTTATTTTATTTGAGTATCAACAACTAGATTCACTCATCGTCATGGCCCACGACTTTTTGCCGTCTGCGTTTGCGACAGACCAGCGGCTTGGAAAATTAAGTTTCGCGACTTGCTCGTTATTTCTCCGAATTTCCCTCGCGTCGATAATTAGACCTACTTTTTATAACTTAACCTGCTAATATAATTACTTATAAAATGTTGCTTCAAAAAGGTAGGAAACCAAGGTTATAATAAGTTTAAAATTGAAATTGAGATTGCTAACAAACCTTTGCATAAGTCTAAGGTTTAAAATAGGGCTTTTTGAAGGTTCACGTTTCCCTTCGAAAGTATTTCAGCCCTGAGGTTCTTAGGTCTTTTGAATCACTAACGACTAAGTTTTTGTTCGCTTTCATAATTCAGCAGTAAAATCAATTTAACAAGCATAAAAATTCCTTCCAGAGAAAACCGGAATGGATGCTTAAAAAATTAAAGCAGATCTAAATTTTTTACAGAACAATTTCAAGCCCTTTTTTTTAAAACCCTCTCTCCGCCGTGCTTTCAACAATTGAATTACGTTTTTAGTCCACGGAAGCCGTCCATAAGAAATTTACGGTCAACGCAAAACACCTGCCCTAGCTTACGTATGCAACCCGTTTTGCTGCTGGTGCGAGAGGCTTTTGAAACAAAAGGTCACGGACGCTCTACTGTTGGGATGCACGTGGAATATTAATGTGTTGAGTTTCGATTCCGACGCATCTGCAAAGCAAGCGTGGCGAGAAGATTTAATCCTATCAATACTCAGCCGCGTTCCATTTATCAGGCGACTGATTTAAAATTTAAATCAAAGGCAAACAATAAACTGTGATTGAAATGAGTAAAGAACAACTGTTTGTATAAAACTTTTCGGAGAATTATATTTAAAGTGTAGTTTTTCCTGTTTCACACGAATTGATTGGGATCAATTATATTTTTCTGAATATAACTTAAGAGGAAAGTAAACAAGTCCTTGAACAGGGTTTTGTTTATTTTTCAAAGGTTAACGCGGTAGAAAGACAAACTTCCTTGAAGAAAGCAGGAAAATCTTCGTCTTTTCAGATCTTTTCAATATTAAATTAGTCAGCAGCGCATGGAAAAATTTACAAGAATTTTGGAACATTAAACTTTTTTTAGAAAGCCTAATGTTTTGCATAATTAATTTCTGCGTGCTTATAATTAACTGAAGTTAAAAGTGGCCAAAATCAATAATCAATTTAAACAAGCTTTTTTCAACAATATTTTTTTCGGGGATAATTACGATTCAAAAATTTAAAAAATCGATTTTGAGCGGAAAAACTATTTTTAATAAATGACATTAAAAGTTTATAACAGCGCTGAAAAATATTTAGAATAAAATTTTGTTCCTAATGATATCTCTGAGAAATAATGCTGGGAATATTATACAAATAAGTTTACCAATTAAAAACTAAGCAAATTAATACTGTTCATCAATTTAACTAATTAAAAATTATCCAATGCTTTTTGCTCACAGTCGTTGTCAATGCACGTGTTTTCAAGGCAAACTAATAATAGACAATCATTAATGATCTAAATATAGGCAATTATAATTAGAGAGGGAGACGTTTCATTAACACGGGTCAATTATGCATGCAAATTACGGATCAATATGAGTTTTGAGCGTTATGAGGTGAAAATTACAATCGAAGCGTCAACGTCAGAACACGCGTCACCTCGCTCTATTTCTAATTAGTATGCCCCGTGCACAATGGCCTCGTTCGCAGCGCGCGTTAATTACGAAATCGCCCGGTTCAAATTGCCCTATCGAAGCAGCGTCAAAGTTTGAAGACAATAATCACGTTAACGCAGTCCAAGTTTTGAACGCGGATTGATATAACAGGCCCGCCTCTGTTCCTAATTTATTCTCACGTGCAGCAGGGGCCAGACGGTGGCGTCAAATTTTCACGCAGTCTGTGAAAAGCGGAAAAGGGAGAAACTCAAAGCGTGTTTTTTCAGCACTCGTGTTTTCATAAAACGGACCCTCTCTCGGCAACGCCGCTTTTACTAAAAGGGAATAAAAATACATTTTAATTTTATCCCTGCCTTGGTTACTCTGCTCACTGATGTGGAAATTTTGAGCGTTTTTCATTTATTATTATATATTTTGTGTAAAATCTGTACATAAAAAGATCATGTTGCGCAAAATTAGCTTGCCCTCAAGTTATGAAATTTTTTGTAGTCGACAGAGAACACAAAATTCATCAAAGTCAGTTTATATTTTATGATAAATTTTTTTTCCTCAAAAGGGAACCTGAATTTACAAAATATTTTTGTTTGTGGCGATAAAAAATAACAGGAAATTTAACTGTTGCTGTTTTTTTTTAATTTTTTTTTTAAATCTGTTAACCGAAGCCATGTTAATTCACTGTAGCTCTCGGCCTGAGGCAAAAAGCTTGTATTTACTGAAATGCGATTTAGAGAAACGAATGCAATTAAATTGCCTGCGTAATTACAACCGTATCAAGTGGCATTATTGGCAATAATTTGTGCTAAATTAATACTCATATACTCGTAAACAGCTTTTCCTCTTTTAAAAATGATTGCGGAGGCAAAATAAAGTTATGAAGCTTCGATTATATAATGTTTGAAAAATGTGATTTTAGTTTATACTTGCGCAATTTAAAAGTTCCTGGATTAATAAGTTTTCTTCTTACCTCAAGATCCATTTCCTTTGATTTTCAAACAAGGAATAATCTACTGCGCAGAATATAATTTTTGTTTTTATTGATTTTTTTTTTTTTAATTTTCACGATGTTTTTTATTTAACAGTAAAATGTGAAAAATGAGCAGAAAATCTATATCTTCTGCTGGAATTGTTTTAACTTTTTTATAAAGAGGATGTTCAATAACTCTGATTAAAATTCGAAATAGAAGAAAAAATGAGTGTATTTTTATATTAGTAAATAATTTACATGAAATTCATATTACATAAATTAAGTATTTTCTACAATGTTAAGAATTTTGTAAGAATTTTCCGTACTTACCTAACATTGTTCATCAGGTTTATCAGTTAGCAAAAACAAAAAAATAAACTACAGAAAATAAATTGTAAAAAAGCATGTCAATATAAATTTGAAGGTTTCTTAATTAGCTTCAATTTCTTAATAAGGATTTTTATTCAATTAATTTGTTTGTTTATTTAATCCTTTCAGCACAAAAAATATTTCAGGGAAATTCTCCCAAACTGATTATTAAAATTTATATTTTATTGAAATTTTCCTACGGTTATTTAATGGAAATGACCTATTTTTTTGTGATTGAGAAATAAATTGTTATAAATTCACTAGTTCTCATGAGACTGGTTAAATTGTAAATATTTTTCTTTTTATTGTTGACAGGCTACGGATGTCAAGTGGCCGGTTTTCTGACCGTCTTTGCCAGCGAGTTGTCCATTTTCACGCTCACTCTCATCACTAGCGAGCGGTGGTACGCGATCACATACGCTTTGCACCTAGACAAGCGACTTAAGCTGTTCAGTGCGGCGAAAATTATGGCCCTCGGCTGGTTGTATTCAGTCACCATGGCTACCCTTCCTCTGCTCGGCATCAGCGGCTATTCGAAAACCAGGTAGGTTTATTGACTTAATTGTCTGTCTGAATTATTCGAAGAAACTTTGCGTGCTCTGATTGAAGTGCACTAATTGTAAGCTTTGCATTATTCCCAAAAATTCCACCAACCAGGTCAAATACTTATCATGCTCCCTTAAATATTTCAAACTGCGTAGCGCTAACTAATTGTAAGTTGGATGTATTGAAGTTGCTGTTGTTAATTAAATTAAATGCCTGCGTTGCACTGCTTTCTGCTTCTCAGGTATTGTGATCCAAAGTTTTGTGTTCGAATTGGAATATAATTGCTTCCTTTGATTCAAATTACTTCATAGTTTCTTGTAATGAACATAATAATGAAATTTATGGTTCACTGATATTATTCATTTTCTTAATGCTAAAATTTTCCGGCGGTAAAAATTGTAATTTTTCCAAATCTGACTACCTTTAAAAAAATTCTCCTTGTGACACAAAATATTTCTTGAAATTTTACCATTGAAAACAGTTGAAAACTCCTATTAAGCGGCTTATTAGAAGATTTTTAGTCTAGCTTAACATTTTTTTTATTATTTAGTTTGCGATTTCAACTTTGAAATTTTAAGAAACTCTTGCTCAATTGACAGTCGATTAAAATTTTCAAATCGACAGTAAATTATTAATTTTTATGCCAAATGCAGAATATAGAAATTTATCAGGATTTGATCCAAAATTTAGCATCAGCGTCTTTTTTATTAATAATAAAAAAAAAAGATTGAACATGCAATAGCTCTTCTAAGAGAAGCAAAAAATTTTGAGATACACTTTAATGAAAAAGTGCCTTTTCATCCACTAACATTAGCATCACGTCAGTGATTTTTCATTTGCGTTGCTTGTATAAGAGAATTACCAAAAGGCAACCGATTCATATGTGATGAAGGGTACAGAACCAAGACCGTCAAAAAAAAAAAAACAGCGAGGGAAGTTGTATGAAGAGTCAGAAAAATTATAAAAAAAGAATTTAATTGCAAATTTAATCAAGCTTGACTTATATATATATATATATATATATATATATATATATATATATATATATATATATATATATATATATATATATATATATATATATATATACAATATATATAATTTTACAGTTTACTGTAAATTTTTTTTTTTACTATTTATTGATTAATTTATATTTTGATTTTATTTTTTTCGCTTTAAACTGTTGTTTTTACGCGCTTATGAATTTTTTTATTTGTTTTGGCCATTTTTGAAATTTAATAACTTTAAAAATAAGCTACAATTAAATTATATAAACATTTCAGATTCAATGTTGTGTATTAAATCCTCTGTGCAAAGCAGTATCTTCTCTATAAAATATTTTTTCTTTCATCACCTCAAGCTTTTGGCCTTGTTTTTCTTGATTAATTTATCATCACTAATTTAGTAGCATTTTAGCTGACAAATCTAAAATAATTTTCATTATATTATTTGCATAGAAACGTTTTATTAAAGAAACTTTCGTATAAATTTTTTTATATAAATAGACTTGAAAAGGAAATTACATTTTTTTGCATGTGTCCCACCAAAAAATTTACTCATTTTGTCACATTTATTATGATTCTAGGCGATTAAATTTTCAACAAAAAATAGTTTTGAAGACTTATTTTAAATTAATTTAATTAATTTAGCCTGTTTTGGTCCATTTTAAAATTTGTTCATCCACTTAAAATTGCATTAATTTAATTCATTTCATGATTTTGGTTTTTAAAAAAATACGCAAATGACTCCAACAAAAGCAATTTATTTTCTCCAAAACTTTGTCCTCTTACAGCATCTGCCTGCCGATGGATAACACGGACATCGAGGACCAAGTTTACCTGGTGACACTTCTCCTGGTGAATGGTTTGGCGTTCGTGCTAATCTGCGGTTGCTACCTGAAAATCTACTGCACCATCAGCGGCCACAACACGATCGCCTCGCGCACCGACACCACGGTGGCCAAAAGGATGGCCCTGCTCGTCTTCACCGACTTTGCTTGCTGGGCGCCCATCGCATTTTTCGGACTCACCGCCGTCGCTGGCTTCCCACTCATTGACGTCACAGGCTCAAAGGTCAGTCAAATTTTATACACCTGTATATTAATGTTTCATGTAATTTGCTTCGGGAGTTTGTTTGGCATGATTGTTTTGCTGAACACAGCCTCCCGGGGAGAAATATCATGTGCCAAAAAAATCCATTTCATCAAACTCATGGCAGAAGAGCTGCTTGTTTTCATTTAAAGACCCGCTGGTTTCAAACGTTAATTGTTATTTGTCATTTAATTGAAACGTAATGAGAATGGAAGAGAAATGGGCCAGAAAAATTAATACAGCGTTCAGGAAATTGTATTTTTATCTTATGGCATATAGGCTGGTAAAAAGTAACTTTTTCAATAAAAATTTTATTTAGCTCTTTAACATGCTCGTTATAGTTTGCAGTGAGAAATTATCAAGACATTTTCTTAAAAAAAAAAAAAAAATTGCATAAAAATAGCGTGATTTTAGAATTTGTATGAATAATTAGTGAGTTAAAGAAAAACAAAGAAACATAAAAAAAAATGATTCCACCACAGCATAAAATTAACAATTGTAACGATATCAAATATGAAAATATTAAAACATCTAAATAATAATTTAATAATTTATGTAAAATAAAAATATCAACAATTTTGAAAATTAAGTTTTTTTTAAACATAAGAGGAATCAAGGACACGCTTAGCTGTTTATACTGTTTTAGTTTTCCTCAGCATTCAGGACTTTTCCAAATTCTTGCTGAATGTGGTGACAAGATTATGTCATTTTATATTTTTTGAGAGTCCCGCTTGAAAATGTGGCACGAACGTTTTTGCGCTCAATAGAGAAATGATTTCTTGTTGCCATAGGTATAATGAGCTCAACAAGGAGAGCTTTCCTTTCATAAAACGCTTATTTTCTGCGTATTTGGAAATGGATACTTTGTTGTTAGAGGGAATTTTTTGGGTTATTAAACGAGCAAGTACCGCAAAATGATATATTTGGCATCAGATATGGCTGCAGTAAAATTTAAACTAGCATAAAAGATATAAAAAGAAAAAAATAAAATTTTGCAATAAAAAATTCTCAAAGTCTGCATTTGAATTCTCGTTATTATTTTTTTTTTATTTAAACTCTTTTTGAGGTTATTTTAATTAATACAAAAAAGCACAAAATTGAGGATATATCCGGCATTAAATCAGGTTTCAGGAAAAGTTTTAAAGAATGAACGTTTTGTTGAAAATTGGTCTTTTAGTGAAATAGGAAACGGGAAAAACGATTTCAAAAAGTAAACTGGCTGTAGAACAAAGTTGCACTCGCCTCCAAAAGAAATCCTGGGAGACGGGGAGTGGAAAATTTAATGATATATCTCAAATGAGACGAGTTTAGGACAATTCACGTTGAATATTTTCGATGTATACTTTTATAATTAAATTGTATCTTAAAAGAAGTTTTACAGAGGGAATTCATGATGGAAAAAAGTTTCATCAACAATTAGAACAATATTACTTTTAATGTGAAAAAGCAGTTAACTGAATCTTCTTGTAATTGCAAAACTTGATAATATTGTCAAATATTGTATTGCATGTGTCTGGCGCTTAAATTCATATTCATTTGACAAAATTTCAGCATCACGCGAAATCGAGATATTGTCGGGCGTCTCTCATCTTCCGCGAAAAGCGCTTTACATTAACCTAATGACTCTCCTCCGCCGGCCCAAATCGCATTACGCTCATGATGACGTGCTCAAGCTACACAATGAGCTCGCCTCATTTTAATTGCGCGCCACCATTCATTTAATTAATTTAATTTAAATCATCGCTCCAAAAGTCAGAGGGAAGATAACATTTTTGGCCAGATTAAAAGGGACACCAAAAGCAAAGAGATCTTTAATCACTATTCAGGCCTGCCTCTTTAAAAGCCGCGGGAAACGCGTGTGTCGTAATTTGCATTCATTTGCCGCTGCTTGCCTTATTTCCAGATTCTTTACTTGTGAAAATCCTCTTTAAGTATTCAAAATAAATGAAAACCTCACAATCCTTGATCGAAGAGGATTTTTTTTTTATAAGAGCCAATAATCTTAATCTTTCAACAATTTCTTTCAAACAGCTGAAAAATCCGAAATATTATTTTAAATCACGTATTTAAATTTTTTGTAAATGATTAGTTTGGTACGGAGAAATTTTTGAGATAATCAATCTTTATAGATGGTTCCAACGATATCGTTGAATTCCTTTGTCTCGTAAAGAGAAAAAGAAAGCAAATTTAATATTATTTTATTTTGTTTTTAACTCAAAACGTCAACTGATCTGTATCGTAAAAGAAAATTCTAAAAAAAGGTCAACTTTTGCTCCTATAAAAATCCGTTGCCAACAAGTTTCACGCCCGTAGTGCTATGTTTATTCTCAGCTTTGCAGTTTTGATTCACTGCACTGCTCTTGAGATTCTTCTTTCCAAACTCGACCGAAGTCTCACAACATGTACTTTTTACAAACTTTAAATGTATATCTGACCTTTGGAAAGGAAAACTTTGGCGTTAAAAAGCGGAAAGGACGAAATGTTGGGGAGTTATTTCGAACCGAAGGGAGGCCATTGAAATGGGGAGCGGCGGATGTGAGAATAAATCTGTTTTGCGAGAAGCAAATGCGAACGTGAAGATGAGAAATGCTACGCGTTGTTTGAAATTGGACTGGCGTGCTGCTTAATAAGAACGCGCTGCTTTGCATTGCATGAGCGCAGAAGAGAGCAAACACACACGATCCATCTTTATCAGTGGGGCACAAACGAAAGGGTGTGGCGCCCCCAAACGACGAACAAAAACTCGAGAGTTCACCTTGGCTGCTAAGTGTTGGCAGCCAGACGAAATTAATCAGTCATGTAGAGTCAAATGTTAGAGAGAAGAAGAAAGTTATTTGCTTTAGTTTAGTTAAAATTTTTTCGCTCAAATATAAATTTAAAATTAAATGATAAGTTGAGTTACAAACAGTTAATTAATTTTTTTTCCTTTTTATAAGGGCTATAAGTTCGATAAAAAATAAATAAATGCAATATTGAATTTCTAGATATTAAAGGAAAAAGATTTATAGCCATATTTAGATGCAAATTAATTAGAAACAGTTTCCATGTACAGCAGCTTTGCACTTCATAATAACTCATAAACCTTTGATCCTGTACAATTCCACTTGTTGAACGATTGACTGCACATTGGATTGGTTTTTAGAATGAAACCCCCGTAGGCTTCGTTCACTTGAATGATTTTTACTTTTATGACAACCAGTTGAACATATTTCCAAATGACGTCACCGACATAAAGAAAGACCAGTTTATTGGTTTCCAAATACCAAAATAAAAAATACCTGTATTGACAGTTTTTATACTAGAAATATTGCTAAGTAAAAATTATTTAACTGTAGAATTTAATCATTATTTTGTATAGCAAAAGATTAAAACTTATATAATTCTTTATTAAAATCTAAATTAATAATAAACTAATTTAGCAATAAAACGAGGTGTTGTAATGGAAATTGCTGATTTTGAAAACATGAAAATTGAGGGGATCGTTATATTTTTATAAACTATTTCAAGGAGCCTCATAACGCTCTTGGGTGATTAATAAGTGACAATTAAATTGCAGAATTTAGTTAATGATTAATTTAGTATTATTTATTGATCATTGTTTTATAATGACGCATTTGGGAAATTATCTCTGCCCAAATGCGTCATTGCTACAATCAGCATAAAATAACTCTTGACAAAAAAACAATTGAATGTAAACAATGTGATGTAGCAATTTGGACAAATAAACAACAATAATAAAGAATAGAGAATAAAATAGTTTATTAAAACATTGAATGGTAGCACTCGAGGTGGATTTCATGTAAAATTGAAACCAGGCAAACCTCGTTGCAAAGTAAAAATGCAATGGAATATAAAAAATAAAGGACAAGGGGGGGGGGGGTCAGTTGTCCTTTATTTTTTCTTTACAACAAGGCTCGTCCGGTTTTAATTTTTCATTTAATTTAAAACATGTTGGAAAATTTTAATCAAAATCAGAAATAATTAAATTCATAATTTTGCATAAATTTTAATTTATTTATTTCCCAAAATTATAAATTATAACCTGCGAAAGAAATAATAATTATTTTTTTCCTAATTTTGGTTCGCAGGTGCTGTTGGTGTTCTTCTACCCGCTGAACTCGTGCGCCAACCCGTACCTGTACGCCATCCTGACCAAGCAGTACCGACGCGACCTGCGCGCCATGTGCTCGCGGCGCAGCTACTGCGCCAAAAAGCCGACCAAGGCCGTGGCCGCCTCGGCCATTTCTCAGCCGATGCGCAACACCTACTCGACCGGGCCCCAGCAGCCCAACAGCGCGGCCGACCTGCGGCCGCCGGAGCAGCGGCGGCCGTCGGCGGCCACGACGGGCCGCGAGGCCAGTTCGAGCAGCAGCAGGTCCAAGGGGTCGCCGCACCCCCTGCGCAACTCGACCACCAAATTGCACATCACCGGCGAACAGGAGATGCTGCTGCGGAGGGCCGTCGAGCAGGCCGTCCTGCCCGACGCCCACAGCGCCCCCGAACCCTTCATCAGCAGCAACGTTTGACTTTTTATTCATTCAATTGGATTTCTTTTCAACTCCTCAAGTCTTCACCCTCTAAATAAATAATGTATAATTGTTTCGCTTATTTGTGTTAAATGGCAGTGTTATCTGTGATGGCTGTGAAGTTATTTTTCCCATGGAGTGTCTGTGTGCCAAAAACTTATTAGCCGAGATAAAAAAAATGTATATCAATCAGGGGCGACTGTGAAATTTTTAGATCGATAAGAAACTTTTAATTTAAATCTCAATTTGTAGCGCAAATATTGCCTATTTTTAACATTAATTTTAAAATTTTGAGGTTATTTAAAATTAATTATTTAAAACTTAAAAACTATAAGAAAATCCAACCTAAATTTTAAATTTTAAAGGGCTTCTTCAGAAATGATTTTATTCTTGCAAAGAGACAAAATTTCATGACTGACATCGTCATTGTGATCAAATTTTTGTACACTCAAGGGTTGAAAACTTTTTCAAGTCACTATCATTTTCCCACAAGTCTTAAATTCTTTTTATGAGAAATTTTAATGAGAAAAGTAGAACCTTTGATTAATTCTCTTTTCAATCCTTAGAAGTGCGGAATTTTCAATAGCGATTTCTGTGACTATCATGGAATTTTGTGTTCTTTTGAACTAAAAAATTTCACTGGTAAGAAGAGCCTTTTATGCACCTCAAATTTACCATTTCAAAAATTTATCATCAAAAAGATCCACAGTTTTATAAATATTTACAAGCACCAATCTTCAAGCATCAGCAATTGCAAATTTTTCAGAAATTTTTGAGCCCCTTGCTGATCACTAGTGCGGTAAATTAAAAGTTTGTAGTTTTCTAGCTAAAGATGCTCTTACTTAAAAACGGGCAGGGGGATTATTTTCCTTTCATAATTAATTAATTTAATTTATAGCTGAAGTGCTTTGAAAACTTATTCGAAAGCTTCAGTAAAACGCTTAAAATTTTTTCTTATAATGTTCGTCGGATAAAAAAAGTTGTGCTTATGTCGTGCAGGTTGCATAAGTCGTTGGCAAGCAGGCGTTTCCCAAACAACGTCGGCAGCTTGTTTTCATAATATTTTGAGTGTCGGAAGTTCTGAATTGATTATTTCACGATTCCCTTTTCTGGTTCGCGAGTTTTCCGAGTGAAGGTTGTTAATGCGAGTGTGAAGTAGAGAGAAAACTTTCGAGAACGCGAGCACCACTCGAAGCCCACGGCTGCTCTGAAGAGTTTCGATCATCAGGCGTCAGTTATCGCATGTTTGGAGGGTACATGTGAGGAGATGCGACGCAAATCACGGGCCAATGAATAATTAGGTGTGAGATGTGATTTGTGTCGGATTGATTATTGATCATCAAGTTTCGTCATATTTATTCATAATTTTGTAAAATCGCAAACATATGTATACTTATAATTATTAATTTTTTTTTTTTAAAAAGTGTGAAATTTTAAATTATTGGTGATAATGTTATATTAGAAATATACTATTAAGTTCTTGAAAAGAAAATAAAAAAATATTTTCTGTATGTGTAAAAATATTAAGAAGAAATATGAATACAACAAAGTTATTTATGTTGAATATTTAACGTTTGACGTTTGTTGTTGGCGGTGAAACAAAACCACAGAGCGTGTGTACCATTTCCTATTCAATGGTGAACCGGTCGATATTATGCATTCCAAAATCGCGATCGCTGTTATATTGCTCTGTTCGCGGAAAAAAAATATTCGGTTCCATTGATTGTGTAATAAATTCTGTTATTGCCACCACGTGTGAAGCTTGTGAATGTGTCGTTGTTGAATGAAAAGGATATGGAGACGTAAAAAGGAAATATGAACAAGTTGATGGAACATGAGATGTTCTTTTTTAATAAAGCGCCTGGCGGGCACCATACAAAAAGCAGCAAAGAGTAATTTAATGCTCCTTTGGCTCCGATTGCATCCGGCGGATCTCCAATGACTATCCAATAAGGAAAATTCTGACCCAATACTTGTTGAACCGCCGGATTATGTGTCCATTGGAAAGCACACGGATTTATTTTTTCATGATATTTAAGACGTACGGTAAGAAGTCACTTCAATAATGGCATTATATAATTGTCATTATTCGTGGAAAAAGGGCTCAACGTGATCGTCGGTTGCCAAAATTAATTTGGGTGTGTCTTGGGAAACGGAGAAAATTTAAACGGATATTTTATTTTCTCAGAATGAAAGGCACTCGGATTTTTTCAGGCTCACCAATTGTGAAGAGGGAGCAAAGGAAAGAGGAGCGAAAATGATCAATGCTATAAAAGTGGCCCCTCAAAACTTTACGACCTTCCCTTGAACGCAACAAGGCGGAAAACGAAGAACCTCCTGCTAAAGCCAACTGATTACCTAATCCGAAAATGGGGGTCATTTTATTATCCCTCATTTTCAACGTTTTGGTTCAGACGCATTGCAAAAATGGTGAAAATCTTAAATGAAAGTCTGGATAGTCGGCTATTCTGTATCTGTTTTGCATTATTAAATTTACATATTTTATGTGTTTGGGTTAGAAAAATTCTGCGTCTGAAAAGAGGTAGAAAATGTCTCTCAAAGGAATAATAAATTATACATTAAAGGCACTTGCAAATTCTAGTCGAACGAATGTTTTTTTATGGTGCTAGTGGGCGTTAAATAAAATCGAATAAGGACATATAAAAAAGGAGATGTTGATCATGATTAATTATATAATAACTATTTTTGCACAAAACAAAATTAATATTCAAAACCTAGAAATAATTTTATCATAAAAAAATTTCAGGTAATTTGGAGCATTTAAAAAAATTAAATAATTACAAAGCTGATAATTATTCTAAATAAATAACAGCAGGATATTTTTTTTACATCAAAATCAAGGAAATATAATTTTTATAGTGTAAATGTTTTTCCTTTAAAATAAAAAAAGCCAGGAAAAGACCGAGGACTCAATAAGTTTAGTGACAAATTATTTACCCGCAGGGTTTTATTTTCTTACTGAAATACTCAATTGAGTGTAAATGACATGAAGTTAAATCAAAATATCTTCAGAACTTTTTTTAAACTAGTGTTTTCCATTTTCATCATTTTTTGTCACATTAAATGATTGCAAAAAAAAAGCAATTAAAGAGGAACCAAACAAAAATTGAAATCTTTGATGATTTAAATTTTAAATCTTTTAACTGAATTAAAAAGAAAATAGCATACGCCAACATCCACTTCCTTATAGGGAGAACGTATAAATTTATTAAAATTTTCATTGTGGCTTATGGGTGAAAAGGGTTTTATCGCCGTAAATAAAAAACTTGTGGTTCGATTTTGTTAAAATTCGTCTTAAATAATAGCCTGATAAATAAGCTACATAATGCGCACCAGAAAACCTCTTGTCGCAACGTAATTTTTTGAGAAAACCGAAAAGTACTTCGTTTTTAGAGTCTCCTTTGCCAAGGCCTCGCCGCCGCCGCCGTTCACGAGAATGGCGTGAGGAGATGAGGGAGGGAAGCCTCAAGCCAGAGCGAAGAAACGTGTGCCGCTATTTTTGATAGACTTTCGTGCGAATGTATTATTTATTTAGAACGCGTTAATTTTAAGTAGTCAAATTTTCAGCGTTGTTAGATAATTGTATACAGTATTTTTTGTTATGCTAGTTTTAAAATAATTTTGGTTAGGAGCGGAGTTATTAACGTTTCCGCGAGAATTTTGTTCCGTCAATTTAAAAAATTGAAGGAAATTTTTAAAAATATAAACTTTAAGAGAATAATGTTGCCAATTAAATTTTCTACAATTTCTTTCACAGGCCTGATGACGTCAAAATTATTTTTACCTATAAACTGAAGGCTCAAAGTCAAAATATAATTTTTTAACTAAGAATAAAATTTTTTAGAATTTTTATAAGATAGCCAATCGATTGCAAATTTTATGTTTACCAGTGTTCTCAAATTTCATTTAAAAATATTATGTAGTTTTGAAAAAAGAAAATAATATTTGATGGTACCTCATACTGCTGACGAAGACGAGCGGCGGCATCAGAGCGCGTTTGAGAAAGCAATCTGCAGCTTAAAAACGGCTGAATATTTTTACATGAAGTTTTAGAGCTTCATTAAAAATTAAATTTCCAAGCGATTGGCTATCTTTAAAAAATTCTAAAAATTTATTGTCTAGGTTTTTAAGTTATATTTTGACTTTGAGCCTTCCGTTTATAAGTAAAAATAATTCTGACGTCATCAGGCCTATGAAAGATACTGTAGGAAATTTAATTGGCAACATTTTTCTTTTAAGGTTTATATTTTTAAAAATTTCTCTCTATTTTTTAAATTGACGGAACAAAATTCTCGCGGAAACGTTAATAACTCCGCTCCTAACCAAAATTATTTTAAAACTAGGATATCAAAAAATACTGTATACAATTATCTAACAACGCTGAAATTTTAAATACTTAAATTTAACGCGTTCTAAATAAATAATACATTAGCGCAAAACTCTATCAAACGAGTTGCTCTCGCCGGACGCTGGCTCGCCTTCGTCGACTGCCGCTGTGGTGCGTGCGCCGTGCTGCAGCCTGCAGTTGCTGTGTGCATCATGGCGGCACCGGCACCGAGTTTATTCGCACTATCGGCCTTTATTCATCGAAATCAACTTATTCAGGGGTGGTCTGGGCCTGGCGACCGCACGGGAATTGTGTCCTGACCCCACTCTGGCCCTCAGGTAGCTTGAAATGTTAAGTCCCTCTCATAAATCGCGCTAGTCCTCTGCGGAAAACTTTCTTCCGCGATTCCCTTTGTTTGTTATCACTTGTGACCTTGCTTGTGACGTCACGATCGGTGTGCACCGAGGAGCGCGGCTGATATCGAAAAGTACTAAATTTTCAATGCTTATTTTGGGGGCTTTAATGAAGGAATTTATAAATTTTGATCATTTTAAATTGTTAAATGCTATTATATTAACCACAAACGACTATAAAATGTTTTGTTTGGTTCCTCTTTAATTAGCACAAATGAGCGCAATTGAGATGCTAGACACAGAAAAACTTCACTATAGTTGCATGCGACGTGTATTGCGGCGCCGGATGATAAATTGAAACGACACGGGGTACATTTTCATTGCACGTTCTTTTAATTAGCTAAATAAATACACATTAATCAAGAGTCGTGATGCTGCGCACTCAGTCAGTCACTCGGTTAGCCATTGTAACGAAACAGGAGAGGTCGTTATTTATCACTACTTACATTACAAAAAAAAGAGGCATTAAAAATAAAATTACAGGAGGCGTGAGAAAAAAAATGCACAAATCTCTAACGCAAAGCAAAAGTGAAATATTAAGAGAATAAAAAAAAACGACGCATTCTTCAATCAAAGGTACACACACGTGCTCATCTAATCGTCAATTTTGCTTGATCACATATATTAATTAAATTAAAAAACGAATAGCTGAGAAAAAAAATCATTCCGTATCGGTCCATGGTTTTTTGTTTATACATATTGATTTCGTGAAGGGAAGGAACTTTCACATGTGAATGTTAAGTGGCGCTGCAGATCGGTCAGTGAAAGCCTAAGAAGTCGATGAGGCGGTCGTTCCACTGCAGCAGCCAACGGTGCAGCGGCATCGGCTTGGCGTCGGACGAGGAGCGCGCCTCGGCCGGCAGGTAGTCCTCCTTGCGGATGCAGAAGAAGCTGCGGATCGGACTTCGGCACATCGGACACCGGTCCAGCTTGCCGAAGCAACTCGCACAGATGCATGTGTGTCTGCAGGGCAGCAGCGCTCTCGACAGGGGGAAGTACTGGCACACCACGCACAACTGCTCCTGGCTCGTGCACGTCGGGCCCCAGGCGGTCGGCGTGGCCGACTCCTTGTCCGCCTCCGAGTTCAGTCCCGCCTCGCAGAACACAGAGGGCGGCTCGTCGTCGTAGCCCAGCGGGTTGCCGTTGGCCAAGTACAGCGGCTGCAAATTTAAGGAAAAAAACAGCTTTAGTCATAATAAATTGTGACCCGTAAGTGGTTGTCTTTGTGGTCGGATTTGTTTTTAAGTCCAAAATATTTCATCGATGTAAAAAAAAGTAATGTGAATAATTCTTTTTTCATTTTCAATCTTATTGAAAAGTTAATTTAGGGAAAATAATTTTCATATTTTATAATTTTCATAAGAAGTTCACAGAGGAGGTTGAATTCATGTTTTTGGAATAAAAACTCAAGTAACAGCTAATTCAGAGGTTTTTGAGTTGTACCAAAACAGAAAATGACAAATTTATGGTTTTTAAATGTATTCAAAACTGTTAGAACTCAAAGAATGTAAATGTATTCAAAATTGTTAGAACTCAAAGAATGATCGAAGAGATTTTTTGAGTCACTTTCAATGATTGGAAGGGATACAAATATTATTTGCCAACAAAAAAATGAACATCTCAAAAAGTTCATAGAGAAATTTCTGTTTTTAAATTCAAAGAACATGAAATATTCATCAATTCCAATTAAATTCTTCAACATTATGTCAAAAACTTCATTAACATCCAATATAATTATTTAATTTAGAAATCATAAATTATTTATATCCTCATGTCAAGTCTAGTGGTCGTCATTGTTACTCCGTTCTTAAACTTTCGTAAGTCTGAGTTGCAAGCCAATCTAATAAAACTCATTTTGAAAATACGCTGCTCCGCAAATTCAACATAAAAAATATTAGTCTGATTGTAAGTCAGTTTTTTTATCAGGTCAACAGATGGTCCCAAAAATAAATCAAGATCGATAATTTATTTTAATATTTTCTTAGGAGGGTGAACGGAAGCTCGAGGAGTGATATTATGTGATCAGCCATCTCCGGACAAGGGCCAAAAACTGGGTCCTCTGCGGGGGTCAAACAATCACACTCCAAGAGCATTCCTGAAACACAAAAACTGGCACGAAATCAACTAGGTGTGAATTAAAAAAGGAGTGAGAGCAGCAAGAAATTTTCAAAGAAAAAGAAGATTAAATAACCGAAAGAAAGTGCAATTTTGATTTATAATTATTATTAAATACTTTTTTTTTGCAATTAATAAAAGAGAATTTGCAATAATTATTTTTGTTTAAGTTTTGACGAAAAAAAGATTTAAGAGAAAACCGGAGGGCTGATTTCGAAGGCACCACCGGAGCCCGGCAAACTCAAAACTCAGTCAGACGAATGCCGAAGGTAAAAATGAACAGTGCGAAGTGGCCTGCAGCAAAAGTTGAGGCTACTGGGACTGGCGGGCGGCCAACCTTGAGGCACGAGAGTTGTCCGTTGGCCTGCTTCAGGTATTGCGCCAGGATGCTGGTGGGCAGCGTGCAGACCGAGTCCTTGATGTGCACCACGTTGATCAACGCCACCTGAAACACACTTGCTCTTGCACGCTCGGACGCAACAACGGACTCTGAGTGGTTTACAGTCTCGTCGGGGTGCGGCGTCTCCGTGTCGTCTCGGATCAGGAAGATGACCAGCGGGTAACACAGTCTCGGCGGCGTGCCCAGGTCGATGCTCTCCGGACTCGGCAGATGCATTGTGATGGTTTTGTCACCGTGTGGCCCTTTCCTGTGAATTAATATCAGAGTTAATTTCATTTCATTATTCTCAGCCGAAAATATACGTAAGAAAATATTTTATTTTTTATTTTATATTTCCTGCTAATAGAATTAAGAATTTAGCCTTAAAATAATATAAAAAGAGAATAATTTTTAAAGGAATCTATTTGTTTGAAAGTTAATTAATAATTTCGGTAAAAATTCCAAAAAAGTTAAATAGAAAACTTAGCACAAATGAGTTATTTACAAGGTTAATTTGCAATTTAAGCAATTTTTATTTGAATTCATTAAGTAAAAAAGCTTTCAATGATTGAAAAATTGGAAAATAATACAAAATTTTAAATAAAACACTCATTCGGTCATATTACGCTATCTTAGCCATTTCAATTTATAAAAAAAACTAAAATAACCGTGTGACTGAAAAGAATGTGAATCAATTGTTTCCTAATTCATTTCTAATAATCCAATTTTGAAATAATTACATTCAATATATTATTTCACTTCAATTCCCAGAACCAATTAGACATTTAATGAAAATGACATAATACATAATGATACTCATGCAGAAATAGAATTTGTTTTGAAACTTTCAATAAAATCACTTGAAATTCTTACAAATTTATATTATAATAAAACATAATTCTTTATTCTTTCTTAAGATTTACTACTTTTTAAACTAAAAAAACTTTGATGAAGAATTGCCAAAAAAGGAAACAAATCAAGTAAATAATATAACTATAAATAATAAAAATTCTAAATTAATAAATAAATTTAGATAAAAAATATTAAATTGAATGGTAACACTCGAGGTGGATTTCATAAAAGATTGAAACCGGGCGAACCTCGTTGCAAAGAAAAAAAATGAAAAAATAAAGGACAACTGACCCCAAAGGCGACCTGCGGTCTGCTGGTACTTTAAAACCTAGGATTTCTTGTGTCCGACTAAAACTAAGTGGGAGGAATTAATAAAAAATTAAAAATAAAATGGGAGATTTTAATTTTAATAAACAAAAATTAACCCGTTCAGCATCAGTCTCTCGGACTTCTCCGAAAGGAGAGGACCGGCACTCAGGTTAGCTGATGAGGCCTGGATTGGCCGAAACAGCTGTCCTAACCAGTAGTGTGGCAGATTACTGTGTTTTTGCCAGAAAAGTCTTTGGGTTCATTGCCCTGGAAATTTCTGCCAAAATCACAGTATGAAGCTGTTGACTGACTCTTTTGCTTAATTAATTTCTGCAATTTTTGTTTATTAAAATTAAAATCTCCCATTTTATTTTTAATTTTTTATTAATTCCTCCCACTTAGTTTTAGTCGGACACAAGAAATCCTAGGTTTTAAAGTACCAGCAGACCGCAGGTCGCCTTTGGGGTCAGTTGTCCTTTATTTTTTCATTTTTTTTTTTTCTTTGCAACGAGGTTCGCCCGGTTTCAATCTTTTATAAAAAATATTATTCCGATTAAATTATTAAACTTGACGCAATACTTTTAATATGTATTTTATTCTAAATAACCCTTTTCCATGGCGGCAGCGAAAGAGCTAAATTTAATTTTTCACTGCTTTTGGCCCTTTTTGTAAAGAGAAATTGGCAAAAAGTAGATGTAACAATTGTGTGAGCAGCGGCGTTGGGAAACTTTTGGCGCAAAATAGACCGGTTTGTCACGTTTGTTGCAATAAATAAGTGGTGCGCGGAACTCACTGGAGGGTGATGCCCTGCTGCTGGCAGTATCCGCTGAGCAGCGTTTTTTGTCTCACGGCGTTCTGGATGGCGCCCCACGGACGCCACAGGAAGAGGTGCAGCTCCCTTATCGAGACGCCCCAAAACGAGTGCAGCGTGTAGTTCACCTGGCTCGACAACGTGCACTGCAAGTCTGTAACCATCAAAACAATGAAATGAGCGACCAAGTTGAAAACAAACAACAAATGAGTAATCGCAAAAGCAGAAAAACGCCCACGTTGGCAAAACATGCAATGAAAATAACTTTTTCTCAAGTGCTGGCGTTTTTCTTTTATGTCTTTAAATAGAGCGTTGAAAAATCATCAATTCAATTTTATTTCATTTATATTTTTAATTGTTATATTCAATTTAATTATTGCCTTTAAATTGTTTCATCATTAAAAAATTTAATTTTCCCTTATTAAGAGTAAAATTATATATTTCTTCAATTCTTAAAGAAAACATTACTTTTGTTTAAATTAATTTGACGCTTTTAAAATGTAAGAAATTAAAAAATGAATTAAATGAATTCATTGAACTTATAAAATTTAATCTCTAGATCGTGAATCATTCAAATTTCGCAACAAAAATACTGAAATAACTGCTTTCATTATGTGTTCCAAATAACGCTAAAAAAATTTGCGGTAAATTTAGCTGTTCAATTTACTTTTCTTATTTTTTAATTTGGCGTTACGCCTTTTCCTTTAACGGTTCTCTTTCTTCACTTGCTCACTCGCCGCGAAATAATTAATCGTCAGCAATAAATAACTTCTTTGCATAACAACCTGCCCGTCATCTCTTCACTCATGTAATGAAGAAAAAAAAAACCGGCGGCCTATTTGCAGCAGCCGGTCTGCGTTTATTAAGTATTCGGTACAAAATATTACTCGCCGTCGGATTAGAGAAGGTCAAGCGCTAGGCCTAGAGCTGATGCGAATGCAAATTAGCCTGACCTTGCAGGTGAAAGTGCGGATTTTCGGTCGATCATCAATCATCGTCCACCCGCGCCTGCCGCCTTTTCTTTTAACAAAATATATCGGGAAAAAATTTGCGGTGACGCCCTTTTTAATGCTCATTGATAAATTGATATAAAAGAAAAGAAAAATTTATCGCTTATTCTTCCGAGTCAACTTTTAGCGAAGATAAAATTGAGTTCAACTTATTAATTTTCATTAAATTTATATTCAAATGTTAGTTTTTTTCTTCATATAATTTTTAGGAATAAGCGCCATTTAATATTTAAAAAATTTAGTTTTCATTTTTCTTATAAAAAATGTAACTGAAATTTTGAAATGTCTGTATTAAAACTTAAATTTACTGTTAAACAAAAATGCTGTCAATTAAAATTTGGTCGTCTGAAAAGAATTAGCCATAAAATATGTAAAATTCCTGTTGTGAGAAAATGTCTCCTTGGATACAGATTAAGGACTAGCGCGAAAAACGTGTTCAGGGGCGTGTGAGGTTTTTCAACCTGGAAGTGAAAAATTTTTATACACGACTGGTCGCCTCGCGTCTTTCGAGATATTTCTCGAGCTCGCCTCTCTCGCCGAAAATACCAAAGAATAAGAGAAACACGTGAGCTTTGCGAATTTTCAGATCCAAGCGAATCCCTCGAAGGGGCACTGCTCGCGTTATTATTTTATTTGCTTTACGGCGCAAGGCAATTTTACGCTAAAGTGCGGATTTTTGTTCACTGCGAAACCGAAAAAGGATTTACGCTCTTTAAACATCATGAAAAATTGCTTCTTCTTGCAAATTTATCATGAAACGTGCAAACTTGAGCAATTATTGTTGGATTTATGACTTACTTCATAAAGTAATGGAGTTGAATAAAAAAATGTCTAAGATTTCAGTTGATATTCATTAACAAATTACATTTCCTAAATTTATAATATGATTTTTTGAATTAAAGATATTTTATGAATTTGTCAATGATATTCATAAGTTTCTGTTAACTTAATTAATATTCTTAAGTGTGTTATCCACTCAATTATTTGGCAGAATTTTCCTTTCCCATTATTATAATTAAATATATATAGCTTTAAAGAAATTTTGATAAATCCTCCTCTCTAATTCTTTTAATTTTTTCTTATTAATTTTTTTCTCCCAATTCACATCTTTTTATAGCATGACATTCATTCATGTGTGAATCGGGTGATGAAAAAAACTCCTACTAAACTTTTTTGTTCAAAACTTTGTCTAATATTAGGAAAGGAAAAGTGTGAAAAATAAATGTCAGAATATTGTTTGCACTTATTAAATATTTGCTTATTTCATCAGATAATCTTTTTTAGAAGATAATTTAACTTCAATAATAAGAAAAAAATTCTTCTTTGTATAATATAAATGGCAGCAAGTTGAAAAGTGTCGATTGCGTCAAACTGCTTTCGAACGAAACCTTTTTAGGTCCTAATCAGATCAACTGACAATTAGCTCGGGGCTATTAAAATTGAATTACTATTCAATTCAAACTGGTATAATTTGTAACAACTAAATTCTCGCTAAGAAAGCCTGGGTGAATTTGTACATTTTATTTTAAATTTTTTCTTCTTCACTTTGGCTCGGATAGCAACGAGGAGTCGATCGGCTGCTGGTTGTGGCCAAGTAATTATCCCATGCAGAGCAAAAGAGAGTGGATTCCCTCTCTAAACTACTACATAACGTGTTGGCTAACCTTGAAAAGCGGTGCCCGCGCGTCATTGCATAATGAAAATTATGGTGCCGGGAAAAATATTTGGGCTCGCCCCGAAAACGTTGTTTGATCGCCGATTCGCTTTAAATCATCGCTTGTCGGAAACCAAAAAATCAAGTGATGGACAGAGAGGCATCGTTCGCTCGTTCGGATCACATTTCTTGTATGTACAGCGAGGGATAAAAAAAAATCCGTCTGCCTTTCCAAACTGCGAGGGACGCGAAAGTCACGATTCTCGCATTTGTCACGTGCCAAGTTGAAAAATAATTATTATTTTTCGAACGGCTATCAAAAGGATGCCGGAGACTTTTCCTTAATTTGGAGAACACAAATTTGATGCAGTAAATTATTGTGTCCTCTACAAAACGAGAGGAGTCACTGAATTAATTAATAAATAAAAGAATAAATAAATAAATAAACCAGGAAGTTGCTGAGAGGAACAACAGGTTTTGTAATCAAAATCAAGATAGTTGGAATAGGTTAAACGTAATAATAATTGAAAAATTATAGAAGTTTTTTAAATTTAATTTATAAAAGTGTGATTTATATATATATATTTTTTTTTTTGGAAATTTACATGTTATTGAAATCTTTGGAAATTAGGATAAATTGTCTTCTCTTGAAATTTGATGTCTAAATTTCATGAATTATAATTTATTAAAATATATAGTAACTCATATAACGAGCAAAGAGAAATATTAATTGATAAATAAAATAACAAGGAGGATAATATTAGTTTATTTTTAGGTCTGACTAAGAGCAATGACTAAAGTGTTTGAATTGAATAATATTTTTTAAAATAGAATTATGAATTATTCAGAAATAACATGAGCTAAACATGTTTTTGTGGCAATGGAAATACCAAAATACCCATATTTTCAATAAAAGAGCACTTTTTTAAAACAGGTAAAAATTCGTAAACAGAAAAGAAATATCGAAATTTAAAGATCAAAACATTTAAAGCTACCTCAAAATACAAAAATTAGATACGAGGATTAGTAAGATTGACTAACAATTTTATTCAAATTAGCCCTCCAGAGATTTTTAATTTTTTTTAATTGATTAGAATTGTTTTTAAAATTCCAAATTAGCTCCAAAATAAATTTTACAAATTTTTTTTTAAGTGGAGATTAAAAAAATGAAATATTCAGATCTAAAGTCTAAAGTAAATCAATTGTTCTACTTCAGATTTCGTTTTTATACAGCGATAAAGTGCTGGACCTGGACCATAAATACAGAGGCAAGTATGCGATAACGGTGAATTATGTAAACAACCTGATGATTTCATCGTCGGAATTAGAAAATATTGCGTGGCGAAGGTCGCGCAAAGGTGAATGCTCTGGCGGGGCGGCCGAAATGCATCGCTGCAGGCGCTCCACTTTTTCTCTGCTGCAGAACAAAGGTCGGAATTTTTTGGAGTGACCATGCCTTTGCTCGACTAATTAACCATCAACAATTTTTTTTTACATTTTTTTCTTTTGTTAAATCACCCGCGGTCTAATGCACTTGAGAGAAAGACGCAGACAGTAATTATTGTTACCAAATGCAAAACAAAAACACGGAATGTGCGGCGCCGACGACCTTGTTCTCGATTGCACCACGCGGTTTTGGCTTTTTGATAGTAATTTCCCGCGCGCTTATCCCGCGGGTTTCTCACGTCCTGCGCCCAAAACAAAGGCCGGTCGCTTCTTTTGAAATTCTAAATAAGAGGAGAAGAAGAAGAAACAGTTCATGTTTTGAATTGCAAAATGCTTTTTACCGACTATTAAATTTTGAGTAATTTCACAGGCGATGGAAGATAAAAAATAAAATTAAATTCATTTTTAAATATTGTATATTTTTACATTAAAATATTATTGAAGATACTTGGTTTTCAAGGAACAAGAGAAATTTCATTAATAACGTTCCTTCTTGAGTAAAATTTGAAATTCTGCCAAAAAATGTTAAAAAAATTAATAAAAATTTCAACATGAACACAAAAAAATATTGCAGAATTTAAAAATAAAATGAAAAGAGAAATATTTTGTATTTTTCTGAATAAAGTAGTTTTGTCTTGTATTTTGTGAATTTATTTTGTAACGTTGTTTGAATGACACAAAAAAAAAATTATTATCAGAGTAAACAAAGAAGTGAATTGAAAAAAAGGGTTAATTGAAAAGATTAAAAAGAGAATATTCACCAGTGAAGAGCCAAATTCCATGTACCTGAATTTAGAAAATATTCATTTGTAACAAAAAGAGTTGACAGTTTAAAATAATCTACAGCTTTTTTTTAATTAAAAATTTGCACGAAAACATTCGTAGCCAATTTAAAAATTATTTCCATCATTATTCAGTCACCTTTCGTGTCCTTGCACCGCAAGAACTGTTGTTTTGAAACGCACAATGCAGTCGGCGAACGAGCGAAAAGTTCAAAGGTGCAAAATTAGAATGCAGAGCATGAGATGCTTTACTTTTTTCTGC